TTCCTTCCTTCCTTCCTTCCTTCCTTCCTTCCTTCCTTCCTTCCTTCTCCTCCTCGTCCTCCTCCGCCGGATCTCAACTACGACCATCCACGCCCAGTGTTCCCTGCCGGACCTCAACCACAGCACACAACCACAAACACACAATTACAAACACATAACCAACCACAAACACAAACACAACAACAAACACACAACCACAAACATAACAACAAACACAAACAGCACACCCACAAACACACAACCACAAACACAAACAAACACAACCACAAACATACAAACACAAACACAACCACAAACACACAACCACAAACACACAACAACAAACACACAACAACAAACACACAACCACAAACGCACAACCACAAACACACAACCACAAACACACAACCACAATCACAACCACAAACACAACCAGAAACACACAACCACAAACACACAACCACAAACGCACAACCACAAATACACAACCACAAACACAAACACAAACACACAACCACAAACACAACCACAAACACAACCACAAACACACAACCACAAACACACAACCACAAACACAAACACAACCACAAAGACACAACCACAAACACAACCACAAAGACACAACCACAAACACAACCACAACACACAAGCACAAGCACACAACCACAAACACAACCACAACCAGAACACAGCACACAACCACAACCACAGCACACAACCCGAGGACCCACAAGCAAAATCGAGAACTACAATACTCACGACCATGGCAACATGCTCCTCACTATGGCATCAAGACAAATGAGTGAAATGTCATGGTGGGGATCACTCGAAGTAAAGTAAGTAATGTTTTTTGCCTCAGAGGCCTTCAGAGGCTCCGATCCCCAGCTTTCTGGCACTTCCTGTGTCAGGAGATTGATGAGCAAGTGCCAGCTGCAATGCAGCTGTTACAAGCATATGCATCTCAGGAAGAACAAACGCATTGGTGAGGGAGGGGTGCCATCTAGTCCTTCGCCTTTGTGTCGGATGAAACGGGAATGGTGTGGGACCACTCAGGACCGAGCTCAGTTCATTTCTTTTGGAGGTCCTGCATGAAGACCTAAAAAAAGGAAAGGAATCTATAGGTCCTCGTCATCCAAAGTGCTCTCATGGCACTGTAGGGTCAGCCTTCCAGGGTTCGAGACCACTCACACTCGGTCGTGAAAAGTGAAGTTTGAAGCTTGCTTTAGAGTCCTCCTCAAAAGGTATTGGGACCCTCCAACCCACCCCAAAAACCATCTTAGGGGTACTTGGAGCCCTAGGAAGTGCATATGTGTGGTTGATTCATGAAAACAACCATGTGAATTATTAGTATACGACCTTTTCTTCATATTATTGAATGTCTGATTAATCCTTCAAATGTCTAGAGTCTATACAAGAAGTGGTATAGTTCGCATCGCTCTTAGAAAACTCATGAATTAGATTGTGTTTTGTTTCGCGTTAATGTGTCTATATGTAACTTATAACTTGTTCAACCATGTACTTTCCATCTCCGGGATGATTCAACCCACCCTCCTCGCAGTTCTTCGAGACTCCAAAGGGCCCAAGGCCCAATTTTGGGTCGGAAGGGTCGGCTCCGTTTCGACAGCAACCACTGCGCCGGGCAGGCCTTACGTCCAACTCTTGTGACGAAGGGTCCAGAAAAGTTGAAGCCTACCTCGAAACCCAGTCTCAACCAGAAAGAAATGGATGGAACTCACCAGTCGCAGCCCTTTCCTAGGCCCTTGAGGGCCCAAGTTCACTAGTCATGGACTGTGGAGGTGTGTTTTTTTTGGTCGGACCGTCGGCGCGGTCGATGCTGAAGCGGAGGGCATTTCCACGCCCCCGAAGAAGCAATGGAAGTGGAACGTAGGCCCCAGCAATACATGTGATGGGTGAAAACCCGGACACCTAATCCGTGGCATCTTGACCTTCCATCCAGTAAGTGGATGTTCTGGGCACCCCTATCCTCCAAGTTCGGCACCCCGACATGTGACTGCTGGTATGGCTAATTAGATGTCAAAAGACTGACTTTCACCCCATTACCCAGACACGACCTGTTTGGGACTGCCAGTCCGGACTGCCGAGAAACGGTAACCGGGGTGGGCCATGAGGGGTCGGCAGTCCGTCCTGGCAGTCCCAGACAGGTCGTGTCTGGGTTATGTAAACTCCGTCCCATTCTGCCCATTCGTTTGGGGTAGGCGGTCGATGTGCTCGGAGTGAGGCAGAGCTGTATAGAGTGGACGGCGAAACCCGCCGTGTTTCGGTGCAAGAAACCGCCCACGGTTTATTGGATGCTTGGATGAGATGAGTTATTTTTTCAGCGGTGTCTGTCTTTTTTCGGGTTTAGGGCACATTTATAGCAGGATACACGCAAGTGGGAGGCAACATATCAATCTTCTGAATAGCATAATTAGTCTGAAAGACTCTTGTGTTCTGCAGAGGGTTGGCTAATAGCGATGGCCTTCACCCATGGCCTCCAAACTAGAAGCGATGGCAGGGATTGCTTCCACCCCCTTTGTAGCCTCTCCAGCCGGGGTCATAGCGCTAGATCCTCCAACCAGCACCCTCCGACAGGTCACCAATTGAGACCAGGGCTTAACCAATCCTGGTAGGTTGACATCCAAAAAAACGAAGAATCTGTTCATCTGATCCGCGGTCTGGCCCAGGGTATTTGGGGTGCCATATGAGACACGACCCGCTTGGGACTGCCAGTCCGGACTGCCTTCAAAACGGTCACCGGGATGGGCCATGAGGAGTCTGGCCGTATTTCTCGGCAGTCCTATGGCACCAATGGAGCGTCTGGTTATGAGTGCTTTGGGAGATGAACCCAGTGTACACGGAGCGTTTGACTCTCGGGAGACACTGGCCATGGAAGTGCACTGGGAAAGTCTGGCCCCTTCTGCCAACTCCGAGCTTGGAGATGGCAGAACCCGGAGTCGTCCGGCATTCAGATCTTCAGGCCCAGACCCTTAATGTACCTGGATCATCCTTTCTGGATCAATGGACTCCTCTACACATCTCTACACTATATAGGACACCTATTGGATGGTCCAGGTATGTAACTGTTCCATCCATGGATGGTCTAGGGGGTTGACCTGATCCCATTTCCCTTTGGACGTCCGACCTGCGGCAGCTGCTTCCAGCCGCTTCCACGCCAGCTCAACGAGCCGCTTCCACGCCACCCCCGGCGTTCCGGAGGTTCGCGCGACCGATCGGTGCGGAACCAGGATTTCATGCAATCCTTCGATTTGACCAATGAGGACCCGGGAGAGTCGAATAAGGCACGTGGTCTGGACCCCTGCCCTAGGGATCCAGGTACCTTCTCAGAAGGCACTTGGACCATCCCAGAAGGCGCTTGGACCCTCCCAGAAAGGACTTGGACCCTTTGGACCCTCCAAACCCACCCCAGTCCCACCTGGGCTTCTGAGAAGGTACGACTGGATCCCTAGGGCAGGGGTCCAGACACCGACCAGCTTCCAGTGTCCAGTGTTTCGGTCCCCGAGTCGTTCTGAGGTCGGTCAGTCGAGTTCCTTGAAAAAGGCCCAGACACGACCCACGCGCTCGGGGTGGTTCATGGACACCCCGAATCACCTCTAAGGAGCTATTAATGGAAACCCCTCCTGGCAGACACGACTGCCGCCCCAGAAAGACCCCGTTACTGGCCCACCCCGGTGACCGTTTTGAAGGCAGTCCGAATCGGCAGTCCCGACTACGGGTCGTGTCTGGCAATAAAGAAATGCGTTGATGTTCAGGACATCCCGACCGAACGACATGAACTGGGCAGTCTGGCCTGGCTTCTCGTTTCCCGTGGCACGGGTATACACCATCGAGAGGTGTCACACCGTCGAGAGGTCCCGGCGTGTGGACCTTTGGGATGGCAGCGCGAGTTACGCCAAAAGAGCCACGGCTCTTTTGGAAAGGTAGCTGGCAGGATCATCCTGTCTGGGTATCCAGACTACCCTACCCTTAATTGGTCTCCGGACACCCATTGCGAGGGTTAGGATTCCAGGATTCCAGGCATCGCTGACCCTCTATTTTGCCTGAAGAAGTGTGCGTGGTTTTTCGCTGGTCAATCCTGCCTTTCGCTCAAACGAGGCCTTTCGGCACCGACCTCCGAGGGGTGGTTTTCGCTTCGAGGCGTCCGAAGAACTGCGGCGGTGTTCAGACGCCACGAAGCCGACGAACGCCCAGACGCGACGAAAACGGCACTGGCATATGCTCCATGCATTGGGGTGGTTGGTGGAAAGGGTGTCTGGCTTTTTCTCGGCAGTCCTGGCTGGCAGTCGCAGACGTGTCGTGTCTGGGAGAACGACGCAAGACCACGACGGAAGACCGAAGAAAAGCCTCTGGCTTGGCAGGACTTGGCGTGTGACCTCCTGCCCGCGGTCGCGGTTCGCGGACGCGGGCCAATGCCAAAGGCGCACGCGGCATCGCTTTGTTCGGCCTCCACGGCTGAATGCTTGGTCAACCACCTATGGAAAGAGAGCACTTCGGCTTGGAAACAAAAAACACCGAATCCATGCATGTGACTAGAGAATTGGGTGGGTTATAGACTATAGAACTCCATGTTCCAATAACTATACGCGAAATGGGTGATGCTGGTGTATGGAAGATTTGCCGATGCCGCTGTCAATGATTGGTCAATATTCTGCTCACATGGATGGTCTGGGAAAGGTCGTGGGACATGTTTGGGAGGTTCTATCCCAAACACAAACCCAGACACTCCATGTATGCCATATATGCCGATCAATTGGGGTGGGCCATGGGGGGTCAATGGGGCGGCATATATGGCAGTCCCATGGAGTGTCTGGGAAAAAAATATGCCGATCAGTGGTTGAAAAGGGGTCAATGTAGATAGGTGTAGATAGGTAATATATGCAGCATGCATAGATACCAGTCCCATGGAGTGTTTGGGTATGAAGTTCGGAGGTTCTTCGGGTTGGGGAACCCCAGTGGCCCTGTGATTTGTGAAAGTACTGAACGATGTGGAGATTCTGGGCGATGGTTGTTTTTCTTTCACATGCATCGTGCGAAGGCGATGGGAAATGATGCGCAAATTGTGGATGCCATGGCCCCAATTTGGGATCACCATTTTTTTAAAATACCTGGAGCCTCAAAGTATACCTCAGAAAATGGGTACAAGTACCTGTTTTTTTATAGGGCCATGTCCCATTTTCTAGAGTATTGGGTCAGTCGGGTCCAGGTATAGCAAACAGGTGCTGCCATCATCCGTCAACGCGGCTAGAGTGTATAGTCACAAGATGGTCCGCGGCTGCGCTGTAGTCGAAGTGATCGAGAAGGCCCCCCCAATCCCGATCGGTTTTGAGAAACTCAAGAACCAATCTGATTGGTCAGGTGAGGAAATGCTGACAAGATCTTGACACATTTTAAGAAGGATCCCCTTCCAGGAGTCACAAAGGGGTGGTGTTTGGTCCCATCCAGTGAGTGGATAATGGGCACCCCTAACCTCCATCAAGCACCCCTTTGTGACTGCTGGTTGTTGAGCCTTGTTGGCCATATATCTTCCCTTCATGCCGTTTTTCCGTCTCTGTGCAGACGCCGTTTTTCCGTCCGGTGCTTTTTTTCCCCGGTTCCGGGTCGGGTCCATTGTCAAACGTTTGCACCTGGACCCGATTGACCCAATACTCTAGAAAATGGGACATGGCCCTATATAAAACAGGTACTGCTATAGCCAGTTTCTGAGGTACTCTGAGGCTCCAGGTAGCTTCCCCTGGAGGTCCAAAACCCTGGTTGTGAGGGTCATGTCACCCTAGCGATCTGAGGGTCCTTTCTGACCCTTTGGGCACTTCTCTTCAAGCGCCACGACGACACGGTCTGGTACGTGTTGCCCTCTTCGTGGTGGTTCGGTCGTGGTGCTCATCCGAGGTTCCTCAGACCAGGAGCTTGAGGACGCTTGCAGAAGTTCCTTTGACTTGAGGAATTTATTGTGACACACAAGGCCTCCATGGCCTAGCCACATGGCCTACTAGCAATGGCCTCTAACCTAACCCAGACACGACCCGTTTGGGACTGCCAGTCCGGACTGCCTTCATGTCTCGGTCACCGGGGTGGGCCAGTAACGGGGTCTGGCCTAATTGCTCGGCAGTCCTGGCTGGCAGTCCCGTCGACGTGTCGTGTCTGGGTCATAGTGATGGCCTCCGCAAGAGATCCTCCACGACGGGAGAGCTCTGGCCACGGAGGCCACGGACATCCGAAAGACGGACGAAAGTTGGTGTCCTTCCCGGGTGAAAGCACCGTTCGTATGAGAGGTTGTATGCATGGTGATATCGTGTTTGTTCATGGTAAACTTAAGTACTTAAGTGCCATGCCAAGATGGCGTCAATGCGCCAGCGTGGTTTGTCATGTTCTTCGAACAAGAACTCACGTATACAGTGTTAGAGGTCCATTGTTGGACCAACTCCAGCAACATGAGGTCCGTCCCACGAAGCTTGGAGTCCACAGCTAACACCCCTTGCCCGCCGCGGATGGTGAGACAGCCATCGACTGGTCCCCGTTTTCACCCCAAAACGAAGACCGTGCGTGAACGGCAACCCTGATGAAAGCCAGATCAATCTGGTTGTTGACCCAACGTATTTCAAGACTTGTTTGAGGAAGACCAAGGGCTGGGTGGGAAGTCATGGCCGAAGTACTCGGCAACAGGTCTCTGGTTACGGTCGGGTACAGTAGATGAACACGAACTCGAACGCGCTCCAGTTGCACCTCCTATAACCCAGACACGTCTGGGACTGCCATAGGACTGCCGAGAAACGGCCAGGGGTGGGCCATGAGGGGTCAACTGATCGGTAGTCCTGGCTGGCAGTCCCAGACGTGTCTGGGTGATGAAGTTGTTTGGGGTGGGTACCGGGTCCGTCGCACGCACCTTCGGAGGTGACAGTGGACCCCGGGTCCGTCTTTCGGTGGTTTTGCTCACCATTGATTGATCTAAGGAAGTCAGGTCAACCGTTCTCTTAAGAAGGCAGTCGACCGGGTGTGCAGGCAGTGAGGAGTTTCTCCATCTTCCAACCCAGGTCTGGGCATTTTCCAGGAAGAGACCTTTGGACTGGTTGCTTTGAAGCTGGGCGACAGGTGGGCGTCAGAGGTAGGGAGGCAAGACGAAGAAGAAGCTTTGCTCTTCCGTTCGCCTTCAGTTCGATCATGAAAAGAATGGGACAGAGCTGCTTCTGGTTGCTTTTGTATAGTCTAAAATCCTTGGTAAAACAATGGTACCAGGACCCTCCAAGGGGTGTCCAATCAACTACCCCACACTACCTATAGGCTTCCAGACAGAGCACCCCTTGGAGGGTCCTGGTATTTTGTCGTTATTTGGTGTATAGTAGAACATCAACAAGGTTTCGACAGCCAGGTCTTTCACCTGAATCTCTACTTAAGGGTTGAACGGAGACGGGCACCCTTCCCACAAAAAGAACGGAGGAAGAAACCGTGTCACACGGGCTTCGCGGCTTCGGTCGTTGACATATGAAGCACGGCCTCACTTCAGAACGTTGGGTGGTGACAAAACAAAACCCCTGACTCACTAGGACCCACGCGCTGGTTGGGTGGTTAATGGACACCCCGAATCACCTCTAAGCACCTATCAATAGACACCCCTTATGAGGGTGTCCTGGTGCAGAGGCTGGATCTTCATAGCCTCTTTAGTAGGTTGGAGGCCATCGCCACAACTATAGGCTTTTGGACCGAAGAAAAACCATGGGGCGCAGTTGCTGCGTTCGGGCCGAAGGGTCGCGGTGAGACTCCTTTGTTCTTTTCCTTGCCAATCACCTCACAAAATGGCTGGTACCAGGACACCCTAAGGGGTGTCTATTGATAGCCCCTTAGAGGTTAAGGGGTGTCCATTAACGACCCCTTGTGGGTCCTAGTATAGGCCACGTTATTTTTTTTTTATAAACCCAGACGCGACCCGGGGCCCCTCATGTGGAGGGGTCGGACTCCTCAAATCTGGTTTGGTTCGGGACCAGGAGTCGGGCTGTGAACGAAAACGGAGCGTCTGGGAAAGATGATAAAGGCACCAACAGAGGTGGGTCAGGACCCGAAGTAAATCGCCTATCCCAGTTCGGAACCCCAGGTGACGGTCGACGGTCCTATGGTCCCGGTCATGGAACTCGCTACCTCTCTTGGCATGTCTTTTTCTTGAAGACCACGTGAATCTCGACTCGATCCCATCACACGTCGATGTCGTTGGCTTCACGGACCTGCAAAGGTCGGACGCAGTGTTGGGGCGAAGGAAGCCATCACATACCTTAGATATCCAGTCGTACCGAACGAACCGGTTCGGTACGTCTGGGTCCTCCAAGCCTACATAAACAGTCTCCGTCCTCACCGTGCCTGAGGTTCGGCACGACTGGATCCCTAGGGATAGAAGTGGACTTCATCCCCTCTTTGTAGCCCAGACGCGACCCGTCGACGGCACTGCCAGTCCGTACTGCCGAGTGTCTCGGTCACCGGGGTGGGCCATGAGAAGGTCAATCGATCGCCCCGTCCTGGCTGGCAGTCCCGTCGACGTGTCGTGTCTGGGTAGAGGAAAGCTGAGGAAAGTATGTAACAAAGCATGCGGACTCCACTAAACCATCGAACGTGAGTTGGAGTGTACCCATTTCTGTGTTGCTTTAGCAAATCTCTCTCTCTCTCTCTTTGTTTGGGCATTGGGGAGTATGGTTCAACTGGTTCAACCCTATACACCAATGCAACTCCAAGCAGCCCCGTACTGTACCGTTCTGGACACCCGAAACCAAGCCGTCACACCGTTCTTTTCAGACGAGTCCGCAAGTCCAGTCCACTTGCCGTCCCTTTCCGCAGTCATCCGCACTCCTCAGGAACTTGCGTCAGACCCTAAAGGTGCCCTGGACTGCAGCCAAGTCAGTTGCCCCGTCTCCCGTCTCCCCCGGGTGGCTTCGTCGCACGTTCGTCGTCTTCGTCTTCGATGGTTTTGGTCCCGAACTCGTGGTGAGAGAGGCCAAACCGGGCGTCCTGTCCGAGTTCGGCATGGAAGTGCTTTGGTGAGAGATTCTGTTGCTAGTATTCACCATGAATAGCTTTAAGAAAGCGTAGATGGCTAGGAACTGGGCAGACGCTGTGTTTTCTACGCTTGGAGACCTGTAGAGTCAGGTGCTCGACATAGGGGGTTGCTGTCGACATGTCCTCCACGGCCCCTGATCGCACCTGTTACGGTGGCCCCTCCATCCCGCTCCGGACTGCCATATGTGCCGATCAGTTGGGGTTTTCGCCATGAGTATGGGCAACGGGGCGGCAGTCCGCAGTCCGGGCAAGTGACACATCCATTTTCTACAGCTGGTTTTGGGGTCGGAGAAGTCCACAGGCCGTGAACCTGGGATTCAATTCCGTACTAGCTCAGCAGCCCTGCACTGGCCCATGAAGACCAAAACAAAGCAGGCAATACCCGAGCAGCAATGCGCCGCAAGCGCGCTTCCAAACTCCCGAGTTTCGCGGTTCACCATGCTTCTTGGGAAAAGGTCACAGGTCCACTCAAAGGGACCTGAAATGGGGTCCGATGGTACGAGGTCACCCTTTCGGTGTTCGGGACCAGGCTTTACATGGGTCCAACTGGGTCCAACGGGATTGATGTAAAGCTTTTATACCCAACGCCGTGCAGAATTCTGCCTTTTCATCCATTTAAGGCAGAAAACTTTGCACAGTTGGAGGATCTATAGGTATTAAGCAAGTGCATGCAAGTGCAGGTGTCCCAACTTCACGGCAGCTCGATGGATTGTACGCTGGTGCTTCCAAATGGCCCATTGACACATACTCCTTGTGGAGTCACTCCCTCGTGGCGTGGAGTGAAGTACTCGACTGGTCGTCCGGTCGTCTGGTGCTGGCGGCCATTTGCCCGTTCGCACGCCCCCAACGGGTGCCATGTCTGGAGACCGGTAGTGTTCTAGGAGAAGGACAGGACAGTGTCTGATCCTGGCACAGGGGTATTCTCCGTGGACTGGAAGAGTTACTGGACTGGAGGCCATCGCTATGAGGTTGGAGGCCATCGCTATACCTTGAGAAAAACGCCTACATTTTACACCATGAAAATGACCCATTCATGACCCATTCATGTATAACATCAATTAACATCCCCAGAGGGGACCCGAACTCGGCGCCGGTCATGTCACCCGGACCGCGATCGGGGAACGGGTCCTGCCACTGAGCCCAACTGGGTCATAACTCTTCCAGTCCCATATTCCAGACACTCCATGGGACTGCCATATATGCCGATCAGTTTGCCATATATGCCGATCAGTTGACCCCTCATGGCCCACCCCTGGCCGTTTCTCGGCAGTCCGGACTGGCAGTCCCGTCTACGTGTCGTGTCTGGGTCCCATGGTGGCACGGTAGGTTGGCGACTGGTGGCACGCCAGGTCAGCCCAGTGGCCCTGGTGCATGAAGGGCGGTTTGAAGTCGAAAGCCGCAAGAGCATCCTGTTTCCAGGAGGACGGGCAGAGTGCCCCTGACTGGGGCACGGAAGAAGAGATACCCAGTCACGCACGCTCTTGTCACACTTTGAAGGGGGAGTCGCATGGTGGTATAGGCTGGAAGTTTTTGTCAGCCCCTATCATCTAAGTGACTCCTGCCATGTGTGTGTTTTTTGTTTTTTGGGGGGGAGTGTTCCACAAACCTTCGGCCCCTCCAATTAATATCCCCAAAAACACCGTGAATTCACAACCAAACCGATCGGGATTGGTGAGAAACCACCCCAAACGCCTGACCAGTTCGGATTCGGGTTCGACTCCTCCATAGGATTCGGGAGGGTCACGTTTGGGCAGGTGCTTTGTTTAGTGTTTTTTTTTGTTTTTTTTTGGTGGGAAGGTACCAAGGTCACAGAGGTGCTGAAGAACGATCGTCGAGGCTTTCACAGGCAGATTAACAGGCAAAGGCTCTTTTCACTGGTTTTCCCTCCCTGCAAGGGCCCAGGAAGCTGACATGGACCCCCTTGTAGAGCTGACCAGGTCTTCTAAGGGGCCTGTGTTCCACTTCCGGTTTCATGGAGCTTCTGGAAGCTTGGCAAGGCATGGGGAACAAGACTCAAGGAGGTGCTTGTCTATGGTCAAGGGGATGGTGTTTAGAGATGGTGGCTTAGGCCCTGTTGATGGTTTCCGGACGCATCCAAGACCTGTGTCACCCAAGACCGGGCTCCTTGTTGTCAATCGTCTTACTGTTCCGTGGTGGATCGCGAAAAACCCACTGGTGACCCGCCCTATAGGTATTGAGTATGGGTCGGTATGGGACAAAAACACCCGGCACCATCTGGCGCCATGGCCATGTTGTTCGCAGATCGACGCCAGGATGGCTGATCTTTCTTCGACCACACAACACCGATTTGACGGTCCTGGACCATCTGGCCACTGGTCCGGACCAGTTTGGTCGTCCGGACGGTTTGATCTCGGTCGGTTTGGACCGCGGCGCTACGCCAACGCGGTGTGGTTTGGTCGTCCGCACGAGTCGCCGCATCCGAATTGGAGGATCTAGGACCGTGTTTGCCTCGGGTCAAAGGTGAGGTCGGTTGGGGTGTGAACGGAGTGGCCTGTCGGGTGGTTTGAAAGGAGGTGCACTTGTGGAGAAGAAGGTCCTGCCTAGCCGGGCCTAGCCTGCCTAGCCTGTTTGCTTTGGTCAAGCTAGTTCCAGCTCAGATGTACTTTAAGGACCATGAACATCGCAGAGTGACCAAATGTGAGGACATTGGAACAGTTTTGGAACACCTCATGATCATGATTTGATGGGTGAATGCTGAGTGCTGAAGGGTCTCTGATTCTTTTTCCGCCCAAAGACATTCCAATCACATTTTGAGTCGCTGCGCAAGGACTGTCCGAGGGGTCACCCACAAACTCAACAGTTGATCTACGGCCCAACCCCAGTCGTCCAGATCGGAGACAGAGACGATCGGGGGACCAGCTGGGAACCTAATGGGTTCAAAGTGGGTCAATATATTGAGGTTAAACCGCGTCCGATCGCTCCGTTCGTAGCGGTGCCAGGGGCCCCTATATAGTAGCTTCTTAGTTCCTAGTAGTATGGCCAGGAGCCCCTATTATATAGTAGCTTCTTAGTTCCTAGTAGTATGGCCAGGAGCCCCTATATAGTAGCTTCTTAGTTCCTAGTAGTAAGGCCAGGAGCCCCTATAGTAGCTTTATTGCTATGTTCGTAGCGTAGGTTTGGACTTAGGTCCAACTGGACCTAGCAGGGGACCGGGCTCGGGTGGGGGTCGGACCCCGGTCCGAGCTAGTTCGGCCGCGATGGGAACCGGGAGATCCCTCACATCATCTCGCATCCATGGATATCCATGGGTTTTTTCCCTTTCCCAGACACGACACGTCTGGGACTGCCATAGGACTGCCGATCAGTTGGGGTGGTTGACTGGGGGTCAACTGATCGGCATATATGGCAGTATCATGTGTCGTGTCTGGGTTTGCTTTCTTTCTGGACCCGACTTCACGAAGACCAAAGGATCCACAGACAAACCTATTACCCACCGGCCTCCTGTCAGGGTGCCCTGTTTGGAAGCCTATAAATAGTGTGGGGTAGTCCAGCCAGGACACCCCGACAGGAGGGTCCAGGCAGACGCTCCTGGATATGAAGGGTCTGGGCTTTCTCACCAATCCCTGGCTTTGGAGGGACCTGTCGGGCTGGTTTCACAGAGTGTCGACGGGTAGAAAGTCAAGGAGACATTTTGGGGCTCGCTGTGCATCAGGGCCTCCTGAATGGTTTCCCGCCATTCTGTCACTCACAAATGCTTCACCTAAGGAACACCTGCCATCCAAGTGCAGCTTGGTCACTCCTCGTTGGCAGCGCCGGAACCGGCCCAGCGGCCCGGCGACGTGGCGCTCGGCTTCCATGTCTGATGCTTGGCAGCGAGCGGACCGCGAGAGCGCCCAGCATGGATTTAAGATGACCCAGATCATCCATGTTTGCATTCTTTTTGCTGCGTACATTGACCCCCTAAACCATCCGCCCTGAGGGAACCCCAACTTATCCCTGTAAGAAAAAGAGACCGAACCACCTCCATCAAGGTCCGGTCGAGGCATCGTACAGCTGGGATAGTCACGGACAGCTGAAGCTGGGATAGTCGGCTGGATCCTTTCGGAGCTGATGAAGCAGGGATCCCACCTCTCCCTACCCAGACGCGACCCTGGACCCTCCGTTCAGTAGGGGCCGGACCCTCCGTTCAGTAGGGGTCTGGACCTTCTCACCAATCCCTAGGGTTTGGTTCGGGACCAGTCGAGCTGTTTGGAGCGCCCCGGTAGGTTGGATCCTTCCATATCCTTCCTCCTTTCGGTGATTGAACCGAAGTAGGGATCCCTCCAAGATGACCGACACGTCTCCTGCGGTGGCATCCTGCCACTGCATGGCTCGACTTGTCAAGGAATGGGCGCGCGAGAAGCTGAAGGCGTGTCTTGCGCCTTGCCTCAAAAAAAAGCAATGCCCATGCATAGGGGTCTGGTTTGCTCACCAATGGATTTAAGAGCCTGAATCCTGAGTCCTGAATCCCAAAGAAAACCTGTACTTTGTTCTACGAAGGATGTTACAAAATCAGGTGAAGTATTGTTTAAATGGTCTTTGGAGGCTAGGGCATGAGTACAGTACTGACAATGTGAGGATCGGACGACCATTGTGGTAGATATATCGCGATGAGTATCGCGATGGTATCATTTGAGCATGCAGTGTCGTATCCTGTACGATATGTCACTGTTTTCCGATGTTCCAACAGGCTGGCGGAAGGTTTGCCAGTTCTCGATCCCATCGATTTGAGGATTGCTTGGATGCGAAGCGAAAGCACAAGAAGAAGACGAAGAAGCCATGTGCCGCGGACCTGGAGACATGGGTACAAGTACTAGGACGTCGTTAATGGACACCCCTTAACCTCTAAGGGGCTATCAATAGACACCCCTTAGGGTGTCCTGGTATACCTGTTTTGATAGGGCCATGTCCCAGACGCTCCGTGAAAACAGCCCTTCCCTGGTCCCGAACCAAATCCGGGATTGGTTCAGGTCCAGACCCCTGCACAGGATTCGGGTGCGACCCCTGCTGTGTCAGGCTTTGGGTCGCGTCTGGGAACAAGTTCAAAAGGATTCCCATGCCTAAAACCTACACCAGGTGACTTCGTGTGACAGCCGTCCTTTAGAGGGTCCATTCGTGGCCGGAATTCGGAATTCGACATGGTCAGACCCGAGGTCGTCGAGCGCTGGGTCATCCGGTTGTGACCAGAAAAAGGGCAGTTCACGGATGTGTCTGGGTCATGGCGAAGCTGGAGTCAAAAGCTACCCACTCACTGCAAATGAACCAATTCCGAAGCTGGAGAGGAACGGTTGTTCCCCAAACCGAACCCCTAGACTTCCAAGAACATTAAAATACTGGTTGACCTGAAACCTTAGTTGATTCGGTCAAGCCTATTAAATTGGTTGGCCAGGAAGCCTGGGGGAACGCCACGAACACCGGTGCTTTCAGCTTCGGTGGGCTTTCACCACCGGTCGAGGATCGGTTCCAGGGGCTTCTATTCCCAGACACGACACGTCTGGGACTGCCAGTCCGGACTGCCGAGAAACGGCCAGGGGTGGGCCATGAGGGGTCTGGCCTGGGGCGGCAGTCCGTCATGGCAGTCCCAGACGTGTCGTGTCTGGGATTGATATTGATAGCGATGTGATTCGGGGTGTCCATGTCTACCACCTGGCATATTTGTTGACATTTGGTTATAGTTTATCTCATGAAGCATGAGATGAAGCATAGTAGTCTTCGTATACGGTCCATACGGTCCAAAATGCCGTCGTCCATACGGTCGGACAGGTGCAAATGTTTTGAGCCGGCGCACAGTCTTGAAATCCAACCTGGACAGATCAATTCTGTCCATATATGGCCCAAGTGTGCGCGGAAAAAATCAGCGGATATATGCCAGAACCAGTGCCAGAACCTTCTAAGCCTGGGGAACACCCCGAATCACCTCCAAGCGGCTAGACACCTCTTGGATGGTCCTGGTACATGGCCGGTTCCATCCAAAGAGGGCCAAAACGAACCCCCCCAAAAAATAACATGCCCTAAGAATCCGGGCCCGAACCAACAGATAGGGTTTGGTGCGGCCCTGGACCCCTGCCATGGACAGCCCGAGCTCGGATTCTTAGGGGTGGGAACAGCACGCTGCATGGCCGTCGCTGCTGGCGCGCCCGCGTGACCTCGCAGGTCCTCCCACCGTCGACGAGAACGAGGAGACGGTGAGCGTGGCAAACACGGAGGATTTTGAGGATCGACCCAACCTTCATCCCAGCCTGCAGGAACTCAAGCACCTGGACGGAAGAATTGGGAAGAAAGAAGCAAGGCTGGTCATTCCCAGACACTCCATGTCTGGTATGTCTACATTGACCTGAAACCACCCCAAGGTAGGCATACCAGCACCTTCCAAGAGGTCTCTTCTGGAGGCTTTTGTAGACTTTTCCAAGTCGCAGGTGGTGACCTGTTGGAAGGTCCTGGTATATGGCAGTCCCATGGAGTGTTTGGGATTAGGACTTCTTTGGGGACCAACTTTCTTCAACGCCCACGTTTCGGGCGCGGTCCTGGGCCCGAGTAGACTGGGCAAGTCTGGCAATCTAATCCCATTGCCATTGCAGTTAGGACCTTCTTGTAGCTGGACGTTGGTCACACAAGAGTACGAAAGGAGGTGAAAGGATCAGGTTGTAACTAGGTCCAACTACCAGGGGTCACATGGAGTTGGGTGGTATTGAGTCCCCTTTATACATCGTGAGTGGATGTGACCGCTAAGGAGGCACCTCAAACCTCCGTTTCGGTGAAAGTTGTGTGGGGTGGATACCAGAGGGGTCTAGCCTGCCCAACAGAGGTGGGTCAGGACCCGAACCTTCGCCTATCCCAGGTTACGGTCTCCCAAGAGAGGTACCAAACATGACCGGGACTATAGGACCCGTCACCTGGGGTACCGCAACCTGGGATAGTCGATTTCCTTCGGGTCCGGACCCACCTCTAGATCTGGCGGGTTACGGTCCTATATAGTCCCGGTCACGTTCGCTACCTCTCTTGCCCAGACATGACTAATGGGACTGCCATAGGACTGCCGATCAGTTGGGGTGGGCCATGAGGGGGCAATGGGACGGCAGTCCTATGGCAGTCCCAGACGTGTCGTGTCTGGGTTGGGAGAGCCGGAGATCGGCCTTCGACCCCGCCTTCGTGTCTCCGAGGCTCCTCCACGCGGCGCTCCGCGACGAGCCGTCCACCGACGCTAGTTCCGGTGACGCGCTGGGCGACGAGCTCCGCTCGGAGCCCTCCGAGCGCAGCAGCGGCTGGGTGGAGAGTCGGGCGGAGGGCGGAGGGCGTGGGCGGTGGGGCGGGGGGGGTGTGCCCGTTGGCGCTCCGTGTTCGTTCACAGCCCTTTCCTGGTCCCGAACCAAACCCTATAAAGATTTGAGGGTGACCCCTCCATATGAGGGTCCGGCCCCTACTTAGGAGGGTCCAGGGTCGCGTGTGGGTGGGAAGAGGGCTCAAGCCTACAGCCAATCAAGGAGCTACTTTGTAAGTGGGTGCACTCACGGCCTGGGCGAGGTTCGGGAGTGTGCTTTTTGGATTGTTTTTGCTGTGAATCGGGCTCGAGTGAAACTCGGATCGCAGGATGGGGAGGAGGATTTGTTGTGATCATCTCGTGGGGGCCGCGCCGACGGTTTCCCCAGAAGACCAGGCACTTCCCAATCCCGCGACCCATGAGACCAGTCCAGACGGCCGAGTGTCTCGGTTCACGGGCTGGGCCATGGTCTGGCCGTTTCGACCGGCAGTCCGGACGCAGTCCCGTCGACGTGTCGCGTTGAATGTGGATGATCCCTGCGGTCACAATTCGGGCAAAAGGGGTGGTGTGGTGTCCAGATCCTGGATGGAACCGGCCCCCCTCCGTCTTAGTCACTGTTTGTCCGAACTGACCTGTAACAGTCACTAAACCAAGTACTAAATTAAACAAATCGAAACAATTATCTATGTTGAACAGCAGCCCTTTGCTGAGCATCATCATCCACTGTTGCTGGTAATAAGATAGACCCAAAGATGATCCAAGACATTGAATCGCCTTTCTACGTCGTTCACGCCATAAGAAGAATCAGCATGGAAGAACCACAGCTGCATGCAGTTTAAACACTGTTTCCGGATTCTTGAGGTTGTTTTTTGAAAGTATAGGCTATACCTGGACCTTCCAACAGGTCACCACCTGCGACTTGTAAGTCTACAAAAGCCTCCAGAAGAGACCTCTTGGAAGGTGCTGGTATAGGCTATATAGGCTATAGCCAGGACCTTCAGTACATGACCTCTGACTGGAGTCTGTAAGTGACCTCTTTAGGGACTAAGTGACCTCATCCTGGGATATCAAAGGGTCACTTTGAAGGTCCTGGAGGATTTCAAAAGCACCTGCCCAAACGCTCCGTTCACAGACATTGGTCCCTCAAATCGGATTGGTTCGGGTCTCATGTCCGCCGTTTCGGTCCAGACATGGGGCCAGGAGGAGGAGTAAAGGGTGGTACCGTGGTACCTATGGAATATAGGCCCTAGGCTTCCAACAACCATTCATTTACAGAAAGGAGCGCTCTGAGCGGCGCGTTTTTGCATTGTTTCATTTTGTTTGTATTTTGTTTCTATATTTGTATTGCGTTTCTATTGATTTTTGTGCCACTGAAAGAATACTATTCTGCCTCAACCCCCCCCTCCCCCAAAGGCAATTTCCAAAATTCCAATTTTAAAAAAAAAAACAAAGAAACCAAAAAAAACAATTGTGCCAGGACTTTGCCTCACCCCTCTTCCCCCCATGGTCTGTGCAGAATTGTTTTTTTTTGTTTTTTTTGGTTTCTTTGGTGTTTTTTGAAAATTGGAATTTTGGAAAATTGGAATTTTGGATTTTTTGATTTCCTGGGATGTTTTAAAATCTTCAATTTCCTTGGAAGTAGACAATACTCCCACTTTCTCTCAATTCCAGAACAGTCTCTGAAATCAAATGACAAAAACCCTCAGTGATTTGTTCATTAGGGTCTAATAATGCTCCTTCTGCTCCTTTAACTCGAAAATTGGTAATACCTGACATTTTAGAATTATAACCAGTAAAATTGACATCTGCAATTTTTTCAAATGACATACCAATAATGAATTTGTTCTCTCTGTATTGACGATACGAAAAACTTAAACTGTCATGTACTGTATAGCTCTTCTTAAATAGTAAAAGGTTTATGATAATGATTGCGCTTCAAATTCTGTGTATTTCTGGGAATTGCTTAATTGAATTTGCCAACTTAAACTACGGGTGGCATCTTGAAAACCTTTGTACCTTGCAAGTCATTTGTATCAGCATTACCAGTATCATTAATTCTTCCATAGATCATAGGATTGTAAAAGTAATTCCATCTCTTATATACATAATTGTCAGGTAAGTATCGGTTCAGATCTTCACCACTCCTTGGAGTTCTAAATAAGGTAATGAGTGCTCCAGTCAGTTTAGAAGATGATTTTACAATATTCATATTAATTTCACCACCACCAGCATTGAATGTATGTGTGATAACAATTTGTAATGTTTCTTATCTTTGCCATTCCGCCCCCTTCTATGTCCTGCCATTCTGACACTCAATGGCTGACAAGTAGCACCAATATAGACATCGGCATTTTGTCATTTAGTATTCTGTAAATTTTTGCCTTGGAGTAATCCACCATAACATTACATATTTCAACTAAATTTAAATGTTGTTTTTTAAATAAGTGATTGGGGTTAAATCCATTGCTTATATTGGTGCCGGGATTGATGTTCCAAAGGCCGTTCCCTTCAAAATTGATATAGCTGTGGCTCATTAAAGGGTTAGGTTCTTTCAAATGAGAAGTTACAGCGTAACCATCCAACATTGAAACAATATCGGATGGATTGCGGTAGTCAAGTCTTTTGGGATTTTTGTTCCTTTCCTTTTTGTTTTTATTGTAGGGGTAGCATAGGTTGTTGTAGCAAATGTATTAGGTTGTTCTTGATTGATCTTATTACAGCACTTGCAAGGCTATGCCCAACCAAACGGGTTATTTCTGGTGACTTTTCCGTGTTTGTATTTCTCACTGTGATGAACATTTCTAGTAGGTACTAATAACAGATCATCCATAATATCCCTTGTTAAAGATCCATCACAACCACCTGTGCCACTTATGTATAAAGTCTTACTTGTTTTGTAAAAAGCACTTGGTGATGAATAGGCATTCCATAAGCCCCTGCGGTCTTCTATCTTCTCCTTGTTTGCTATATTTTTCTCTTCAGCATATAGTGTTCTATGTTGTTTAAAGTGATCATTTAAGTTTCTTGTAAAGTCATTCATTCTATCATTCCAGTTTTGGAAATCAAACGGGGGGCGGACATGATCACTTACTTCATCAGGTCAGAGAATGTGGGCGTTCTGAGCGAATTCATTGTTGTTGGAGCCATCCCTGGGGAGGCAAGCACAAGGAATATCCTCGCAGTGCACTCAGGTTGCGGGATTAAGATTTCTGCCATGGAGCCGACCACCTTCCTGATCACTGAATCCCAGAAGGAAGTGATGGCACAAGTGATGAATTGCGAGCCGTTTACCGTTGACGAGCTTCTGGGTACAGCTGCAATGAACGCGGACGCGAATGGCGTGGAAGTGAAATACATTGAGTCTCTGAGCATTCTCAGCATCGAGGAATGCGATCTCAAAAAGGATGAAGCAGACAAAGCAAAGCTTTTTGCCTTGAGCGAAACAGAAGCGGATGTTTCAAGCTTCACTTTCCCCACTAGCATTGACGTCTATTCGTCTTCTCTGAAGGTGTCAATCGTGGACCTGGGGGTGCATGTGGGAGTATCCTTGGCTTCAGGTGGAAAGCACTAGGATGGGCTCCACCCTGAGTGCATGATCGCTCTGATGGAAAAGGCTCACTTGCAGCTGAGCAAAGTCTGCCTGAAGGGAGCTTCAGTGACCGCTGTAGAGTCATTGAAACGGAGTCTCAGCTGTGAGAATCTACTCTCGATGAGTGGTTTGGCTGGGAAATCCCCCGAGCATGCCCAATTCTGTCCAGCTGTCCTAGCAGAACAGATGTATGCCTGTGCTCTGATGGAGCTCTGCTCGCTGCTTCTCCATGTCAGCTTTCTTGATGCAGCAATGAAAGACCAAGAGTGGACTGTGACTGCAATAGCTGCTAATTGCGTCAAGCAGAAGCTCAAGTCTCCAGTTGCGAAGCAGATCTGGAGGACGCTGCCGGATTCGTTGCTGGCGGTTTTGGCCACGGTCGAATCAGCAAAGAAGCAAGAGACTGCGAAGCAGGAGTCATTCCCAAATCAATTGGCAGATGTGATTCGCACTATGCTTGGGGGGGCAAGTGGTAGAGAAGTTTGTGACAGCAGTGATAGGGGAACTGGACATGGATCCACCTGAGTATTTCCACGAAGACAAAGAGCACAAGATTGAGGTTGGAGAGATCGGTGAGACCTTCTCCTTTCATCCTGAGAAGTTCATGCGCTCCCGGACTGCTCGAGAGAAAGAAGTCTCAATAGTTCCAACAGGAGTTGTGCGGTTGCATGCATTCCGAGATGAATGGCCATTCAGTTGGGAAGATCTATGCAAGCGGCCGATTCGGGAAATCACAGACAAGCTGCCTTTGCTTCAACTATGCAGGCTTCGCACATGCCCTGGAGATTGTGGTCACTATCACCTGTCAGTTGAGGAAGATGGGGCAGAGAGTGTCTTGCTTGATTTTTGGTCTTGGCGTTGGTCGGCTTTGGATGGCTCCAAGAAGCCGCCAAAAGATGCTCAGGTCTTCCAGTTGTACATCAGGTGCCCAGAAGGAGCGGTAGACGCCTTGCAATCCTCCTCTGGTAAGAATGGATTGTACTTCGAACCTCGACAAGATGGAGCCCCAGGAAGTGATACTAGGTTCTCGGTGATCTGGATTCAGGGGTCTGATCTGCAGCAGGTGTTGCATCTTCATCGAACAGATGACCTTGTTCATGGCGTTGCTCGAATTGGAAGCAGATATGGTGTGAAGGTTCGAGATGTGGACTTTGAATCCATGCATAAGAAGCTCTGTCCCAACAAGCCATTTCTTCGTGGACCCATTCCAAAATATGGAGGTTGGAGCCTTTGCCCATTGGAACTCATCGACAAAGTCTGGCAGAAGCATTGTCTCAATGGGGTTGGTCAGCGAAGCCCATGCAGCCGGCACGTGATGCTCGTGGTCGTGCTTGGGAAGTGGGGTCCAATGACCCGCCACCAGACAATTTCTTGCCGTCAAAAGATGGTTTGGTCACAGTGACACTCATTCGAGAAACGTCTGTGAAACCGCAAGTGCAGAATCTCATTGTTGGCAAAAAGACTCGTGATGCCATCCAAAGAAGTGCAGTTGTGAGCTCAGCACCCGCAGACTCTCAATTTGGAGAAGCAGGCGATCCCTGGGCGAACTACCTGGCCAGAAAGAGCTCCTCATCATCTTCGGCTGCTCCAGCTTCGGTAACGCCGGCTCCTGCCTCTGCCAAAATCGTTGAGGTTGAGACCAGACTCAAAGATGCAGTGAAGACAAGTGTGATGGAGGAGTTTGGGAAGCTCGAGGCAGGTGTGAATGTTTCAACTGATCAGCGAATAGCAAAATTGGAATGTGACATGGTGGAACTTCGAGCTCAGGGGCAGCGATTCGAACAATGGTTTGTGGAAGGTCAGTCAACCGCCCACAAAACACAGGAGCAAATCGTCGATCTTCATGCTCGGCTTGAAACTCAGGCTGGAATGACTTCGAAGTTGGTTGGATGCTTTGAGGAATGCAGTGACAAGATAGGGAGTCAACAGACTGCTCTTCATCGAGTTGCTGGCGAGGTTCATGCAGTGAAGACTGACCTTGAGCGTACATTGGATGGTCTTTTCTCCAAGCAGAGTGCACACATAGAGCAGATGATTCTTCGTTCTCGCAATGAAGCTGATCCAGCGAGGGCCTCGATCCGAAGCAGGAGTCGTGGTGAGTGACTATCTCGGCCTGGCCATGGGACTGGCCGTCCTGTGGTGCACAGATCGTTTAGGCCATCCTTCCTTAGTGGCAGCCAGATCATGACTAGACTCGTCTTTGTCCTGCTTTGGTTTTGCTCTTTTCGCGTTGGGGAGGCAAAAGTTCCAGGGCCTTGTGGGTTTGGCTCGAACGATTGCTTTGGTTTCGACTGCGCATTGGCAGACGATGACACTGCTGACACACTTATAGTTGGAACCATGAATCCAAGTGGAATTGCTGGTAAGGCTAATTTGATGAAACAGTTCCCAGCCGGCTGGTGGTCTGTTACAGAGACTCAGGCCGCTGATGCACAGCTTCGTTCTTTTGGGCACCTCATGCGGCGGCGAGACGATGATGCTTGCAGCTTCTCAGTGCTCAGTGGGGCGCCGGCACCTTGCCGGCCAGGTAGTATGGCCTCAGGCACCTGGACTGGAGTTCTTCAGTTCTCAACGACGCCAATGAGGCCAGTTGTCATGGAGTGGCCGCGCAATGTTTGGGAAAGTGGAAGGGTCATGATGGCAGTGTCCCGTTTCTCTGGCATTGATGTTACGAGAGCTACTTTGTACCTACCTCCTCGGGGGGCCAACCTTTCCGCAGGCAAGATCCTTGGCAGAAAGTCTTTGGAACCGGTCACAACTGAATTCGGCCGTCGAGGGGTTCGCATCGTCTGTGGTGATATGAACATGAGTTGTTATGAATCCAATACCTTCGACATCTGGAGATTGAACGGCTGGGAGGAGCTGCAGGTGCTGATGAATAGGAGATGTGGAGTTGAGACCAAGCATGCAAATGCCTCAACGCCGGACCATGTCTGGCTTAGCCCAGAAGCACAACAACTGGTCTGCAACATTGGCACGATAGATCTTTTTCCAGATCATCTTGTTCTCGCTATGAAGCTCAAGATCCCCAACGTTCAACGATCTCTCCAAGCAGCTCTTCTGGCGAATCCCTGAGAAGCTTCCCTGGGATTTTGTCGACAAAGAGAAACTACACAATGAATGGTCAGCAAGGCCACCAATGCAATGGACTGATGATTCTACAGCCGATCTCCGCAAGTGGAGCAAGGAGGTGGAAACCTCCGTCTTGCAAGCTACAACCACGGGAGACCGTGGCCTGTCACGCTGTGAGGGGCGCTGCACTGTTTTGGATCCGACGCCACGAACTTTTTCGCTGCCCATTCCAAGAAATAGTCGTGATGGTGAGCAGGTCATCCTTTCGAGTTTTTTGGGTAGGGCTGTGCAGAATTGGTGGAAGCAACTTCGTAGATTCCAAAGCTTGTTGCACAATGTTAGGAAAGGCTCCGACTCAGTTAGTGCCACGATGTATAGGCAGCAGACCTAGAAGAGCATCCGTTCAGCCAGGGGGTTCCGTCCTAATTTCAGAGATTGGTGGAAAAACATCGTGTTGTCAAGTTGCAGGGGGCCTCACCTGATATTCCTATCCAGGTTCCTGCACTTGCTGCACTTGAGATCATGTATCAGGACTATCAGGCCAACTATCGAGGCTTCGAGAAGTGGAACCAGGAGCAAAGAAAGAAGTCCTTGCAAACAAAGCTGGCTAGCTCTGTTTCTCGTACCTTTCAGACTGTGAGGGACAACTTCCGAGCGCCCTTGGAAACTCTGGTGGACAAGATTGAGGCACCCATCCTTCAGGTTGATCCAGCCACTTGTGCGGTGCAGGTTGATATTGCAATTGAGGGCAAAACAATTCTGTACTGGACTCTCGATGGCTCTCCTGTTCAGGTTCGGCAACATGACTCCGACTTGTGTGTGGAGACAGATGGTCTGCTTAGAACAGGGCAAAAACTGGCTTGTCATTGCATGGTTGCTGACCGGGATGACATACATGATCGGCTATGCCAGCTATGGCTTCCACGCTGGCAAAAGCATCTAGACACACCGGATGCTCAGTGGGACAGGATCATTGCTTTTGCAAATGCCTATCTGCCAAAGGGCTCCTACACATTGCCGTCATGGAGTCTTGCTGATTGGCAAAATGGAGTGCATAATTTCCGAGAACGCACGGCAACAGGACCTGATGGCTGGGCAAGAGCAGACATTGCCTTTCTTCCTGACAGAGCAGCTCATGACATTGTCAATAGAGCATGGCTTGGATTGGCCACTTCAGTGGCAAACAGCGCTGGTGAGATGTCTTGAGAAGACTCCTGGTTCAACGGATGTGAATGGGTATCGTCCCATTACCTTGTTTTCCACCTTGTACCGCCTGTGGGCAGGCCACAGATCCAGACAATTGCTTGCCTATTTGGCTCGCTTTGGTGACACCCTTCAGTGCGGATATGCTCATGGCCACGAGGCAAGTGACATCTGGTATCATGTTCAGACACTGATCGAGGTCCAGATCATGCATGGAGAGGAGCTGCATGGTGCGGTGGGAGATTTGGTGAAAGCCTTTAATCTTCTGCCCAGGCTCCCCATCTTTCATATGATGTCTCTAGTTGGCATTGAAGACTCCTTTTTGGATTGCTGGCGACGATTCCAGGCGGGCCTGAGTCGCAGGTTCACGGTACGTGACAGCTGTGGGCCACCGCTGTACAGTGTTACTGGCTTTCCTGAGGGGTGTCCTTTGTCGTGCGTGGGCATGTACGTTGTCGATGTGGTTTGGCACCACTATCAACATCACTTCTCCAGCATATCTAAACCTTTGTCCTATGTGGATAACCTGGAGGTTTTGAGCACTTCAGCCCCAGCAGTTGTCCACGGAGTCACTGTGATGAGAGAATGGTGCTCGATCATGGACGTTGAACTTGATGAGAAGAAACTAGCACTGTGGTCAACATCCAAGCACGGTCGAAAGTATTTTCGAGACAATGGTTTCTCTGTCATTTACAGTGGTAGGGACCTGGGTGGACAGGTCAACTATGGCAAGGGGCTGAGAAACAGTGTTATTGTCAAGCGAATGCAGGGTCTGGATGCTTGTTTTGCTGCATTGACACGGTCGCTCTTGTCCAGGATGCAAAAACGTTTGTGCATCTTTGGCAGTTTACTGCCTAGAGGACTGCACGGAAGCGAGAGCACAACCATTGGCGACCAACACTTTGTTGCTTTGGGCGGCCGAATCATGAGAGCCTTGCACTGGAAGCGCTCTGGGGCTAGTCAATCGGTCAGACTTGGACTGCTGAATACAGATGATCTTGACCCGAAGTATTTTTGTTTCTGGCGGGTGCTTGCACTGGCTAGGAGGCAATTCACTCGGTTCGATGGACTAAGGTCTCTGTGGCGCAAATTCCTTTCAGGTCTGGCTGCAGATCGCTCGGCAACATGTGAAGGGCCTTTTTCGGTACTCCATACGTTGCTGTCCTTGGTTGGCTGGCGGCTGGATGCTGATATCCTGCTCTGGATCAGTGCTGACATCTCTCTGCCGTTTTTGAGCTCGCCTATTTCATTGCTGAAAGAGCTAGCCCTGTGGTTCTGGAGACAACATAGATCCTTGGAAATACTGTCGCGAGATGGCTTCAGTGACTTGGATGGTTTTGAGCATGACTTGATTGCTAGTGTCAATAGGTCCCTTGATCCTAGGCAAGTTGAACTCCTTAAGGGGATGGAACCTTTTTCACTGGTTTCCACATTTCCCGTTTTGATTCAAGAGTCTCGGAGAGCTGCCCGGTTTGTGGATGTATTGATACTGCTGAACATCGTTATCGCTCGTGTCCCAAATACACAGCGGTGCGTTCCTCTTTTGGTGATCTCATCGATGCTTGGGATGAATTTCCGAAGTCGTTGTCAGTGCATGGACTTCCTTCAGCAGTTCCTTTTCGCATGGAAGCCTGGAAAGCACTTCATGACTTGTGGACAGTGGAAGTGGTCAGTGACTGCGATCCTCCTACCTCGCCTGTGTTCAACTTGTTCACAGATGGGTCATGTAAGCAGGATGGTCCTTGTTCGCTGGCCTCATGGGCGGTTCGATGCAGTGAGAGCGATTGCGCAGCAGTTTGTGGATGGCTGCCGGGGCTACGCCAAACTATAAATAGAGCTGAGGCGTGGGGTTTGCTGCAATCGATGCGATGGATTCCTTCCACAGCAAGTGAGGTGCATATCTGGAGCGACAGCTCTTATGTGGTTGAAAGCTTGAGACATCTGCAGGTTGTGGCCAGCTTCCCAGTTGACCTGGACAATAGTGATGTTTGGCGCCTCATATGGGATGAACTTCAAGCCATGAGACGTTTGCTCCGGATCCACAAGGTTCCAGCACATCAGGATGAATCCAAAGCTTCTGACCCGCTTACTGAATGGGCCATCCGAAACAACAACCTGGTTGATGAGGCCGCTTGTGCTGTCAACAGAGCTCGACCAGCCTGGTTTATGTCTGTATGGTCTCGGTTTGTCGGGGCGTGGCAACGTCAGCGACGATTGCTTTCTCGCTTTGCTCAGCTGCATTTGGCCATTGCGGAGTTTGATACGGACAAGCCTGCACGGCACAGTGATCAGATGGAGGTTGACGATCTGGTACTGGACATGGCCAATAGGCACTTTGAGCCTATCTCGGGCTTCGTGAGTGAGGGGGGCAGATTCTCTTAGAATAGATTGGATTGTTCAGGCTTCTTTGCATAGTGAATTTAGCTTTTCGTCCTTGAGCAGGCTGCATAGTTGGGCCTTGCATCTTGAAGGATGTGCTGATTTTGAATGTTTTGTTTCGCACGTTGAATTGTTTGTTGCCTTTCGCTTGCATAGGTGTGAGCCCATCTCCTCCATTTGTGGCGCTTGTGTCGAGAACCCCTTTCTGCCGCAAACGATGGCTGGAGATCTTCAGGTCTTTCGAGGCTTGCTCAAGACCTGGAGTGAATGGATGGGGTTCGAGTTCGTTCAAGACTATGTGGATTTGTCTTTGTGTGGTATTCATGTTGCTCAGCCTGCTGTTTGGTTCCCTTGGTCTTTTGATGTTTGCTCTTTAGTGGATGAACTCAGACAGTTTGTCGGGAGGAGGCCGGTGACGTCGGCCCAGGGTTTTTCGAGACCTTGGAGGCCTGCTAGGCACTGTTGAGGCACCTTTGAGTGTAGTTTGTCTCCGTTTCACTGAGACAGCTGACCGCAACAGTCCGAGTAACACTACAAAAACCAGGTCAACCTTTTTTTTTATGGTCTTGGAAGTCTAGGGTAGGGCTCTTCAACCTTAGTTGGGATCACGGAGCGTTCGGGCGTAGGTTGAATGGAGTCTTTTTGGTGCCAAACGCTGGTTGTTGCCACATGTTGCCACGTTTTCCAACGCAAAGAAGGCATTGGCATTGACCAACCCAGAAAACATGGATCACCCTGCACAGTTTTATTGGAGGATTGGGGAACTCCCCACTCAAATCATCTAAAATATTCTTAAATCTAACAGGTTGACAGTTCTGTGAACATCGCATAACCCATTTACTTTCCAGGGAAAAGGCACGGGGGGTCAGTTGACATCACTCAGAGCATCTTCATCTCTCCAGCTTTGGTGTACCGATGTAGCCATCTCAGCCCCTCGCAGCATCTCGCAGCACTCAAGTCCAAGCACCCGTCAAACCTTCATCCAAACAACGGGTGCCTTCATCTAAACATCCTCACCTCGGCCGCCTTGCGCATGCGCTGCCGCCCCACACCGTGTTTGAAAGCGCGGATTGACATGGGCATTGAGCTGCAGTTTTTGCGCACGCCGACGGCCATTCGCGCCGGCCACGTCAGCGGCGTCAGCGGCCACTCAGGTCAGTACGTCGAAGACTTCGACATTTGCCCCGCCTTTTGAGAGGCGCGGCGAAGAGAGCGGATGCGGGAGATGCCCACCAATCCCGTCAGGCACGGACACCACATAAACGGACGCCAGGGATTGGTGAGAAGGTCCAGACCCCTACACGGTCCGGAGGGTCCGGCCCCTACTGAACCGAAGGTCCGGCCCGTCGCGTATCTGGGAGGGTTCCCATCGTGTTTGGATTCCAATCCCACGGTTCTCATGTTTCCCTAAGAATCCTTGGGCTGTCCATGGCAGGGGTCGGACCCGACACCGAAACGCAGGGGTCCGGGGCCGAAGCAAACCCTATTTGTTGGTGAAGGGGCCCGGATTCTTAGGGTTACACACTTTCGCACTCGACGAGGAAGTCTTCTCCTTCCCTCGTGTGCAACAAACTCGTCGACGATGCCAGGGGTTGATCTGATGACGTGGAGTGAGAACCGAACATTTTCAAGGAACTGGCGGAACTTCACCCGACTGAAGTCCAGTTCGACTGTATGTTGAATTATTTTGACCGACTGAAGCTTTCAGGACATTCCTTAACATCGAGTCACCACGTTCGACCAGTTCTTTTTTGTAGTCTTTCACTCCCAGGGTTAACCTATATTCGTGTTGTGGAAATGGCATGTTTCGAACATCGAGAGTGATGCACATATAGATGTTTTTTTTAGCGTTGTGGGATGTTCGTTTTCGATGGTATCTACGGTATCTCAAGAACCCATCCATAAACTAATCCCAGACGCTCCATGTATGCCAATACCTAGATCTTCCAACTATGCCAAATTTCTGCCTGTTCATCCCTGCTAAACCTTTTAACCACCTTTTGTTGTCCATGTCGCTAATCGTTGTCTTTTGGTATGCAAGGACGAGAATTGTTGTCCGGGACGTGTTTTACCGTAATCCCTGAACTTGGTCTATTTCACAACACTCAATAGTGTTCAGGCTTTGGACGTGAAAAACCGTTCAGGCTTTTAACAGGACATGAATTCACAAGATTGACGTAAATGTTGCGAGAACTTGTAAAAAGCTATTTTTAAATCCTGGACTGGAATTGGTATCTATCCAGGGTAGCAGGTCCATAAAACCAGCTTAAAAGGCAGACATTTTGCATATAGTTGGAAGATCTAGGTATATGCCTACATTGACCCCTCACCCCAATGTAGGCATATATATATATATATGGCAGTCCCATGGAGTATTTGGGAATTGTAAACGCCTGTTGATTGATCAACCCCCCCCATAGAAGAAATTCTTGCAATCCTCCATGATTCTAACATCGTTCCGCTGAATTTCGCTGGATCCGTCATTATCGTGGCGGTCTCAAAGGGCAACGTCGCGCAGCCTTTGCTAGTGCAGCCTTCACTGGGATCTTGTGGCGATCTCTTTCGCCCGTGGTCGCTGAGTTTGAATGACAACGCTCGAGGCGACTCAGCCGAGGCTTTGCAGGTTGCAGGGAAAAACGAAGTCGACAGGAAGTTGAGGGACTTGCAGGAACTGCTTTGCATATGTGAATAGATTCACCGTGCATCACCTGCCCAACCGACCTTTGGGAAAAGCATGGGAAACCAAAAAAAAACACTGAAATCCAACAGCTCGGAACGTTTAACATGTGATTTTCCACAAAAAACTGAGGGGGGGGGCAGTGGGACTGGCCAGGAATCCTCAAAGACTCCATGGGACTGGTTCCATGGGACTCGTTTCGATTGATTTACTGCACACCAAACGCCTGAAAACATCTTACAAGACCACCCCATGTATGCCATAGGACTGCCGATCAGTTGACCCCCCAAAGCACCCCGATGTAGGTGAAATATGGAGTGGTTTGGGTCTTATAAGACCATCCCATGGCACACCGAGAGCTGCTCGCCCGTTCGCCGGGACAGGCTAGGATTCAGCACCATCCCATTCTGGACAACCAATCGCAGACACGCCCATGGGACTGCCATGACGGACTGCCGAGAAACGGCCAGGGGCGGGCCATGAGGGGTCTGGCTTGATCGGCAGTCCATCATGGTAGTCCCAGACGTGTCGTGTTTGGGAATTGGGGGTTCCACCCCTAGTTCTCGCTGGTTTTGCTTATGTTCCCTTTCTATGGTGAAGATGTAGGTCCCGCGACCGACCCGAAGTTCCTCAGGGGTTTGGACCTTCGAAACAAATCGGGTTTGGGAACCGGCACCAGGCAGTCGGGTGAACGAAAACGGAGCGTCGACGTGGCTCCAGGGGTCTACCTCCTTTGACCCGGCCATCCGGGCCCGAAGCCACAAGAAGCACCTGCCAAGTCCGGTGGTTTCTGGAGACCCCGAATCTCCCTTACCCAGACACTCCATGTATGCCATATATGCCTACATTGGGGTGGTTTTGGGGGTCAATGTAGGCATATATGGCAGTCCCATGGAGTGTCTGGGTTAAGAGGCTATTTACCAGGAGTCACATGTCGCTCGGGGTGCCGGTTCCGAACGGAGGTAGGAGTGCAGGTGCTCCATCGTCACATCCACGGCCCCTGGATGGGACGAGCCACACCACCCAACTCCATGTGACCCCTGGGTCATGGCTCTTGATGTCGGTCCTGGTTTGAGATTCGGGCCCCTCTTCAGGGGTCCGTTGGACGGGTCAGCCGCGGATGCTTGTAGAAGGACTGCACCCACCCACTCACCCACCCAACCAGAGCTTCTAGAGAATCGTATGACTGGAGCTCGGTTGGGTGACTATTTCAACTGAAAACCTGGGTGTGCAAGAAAAAACAATTATGCATGGATCTTCCAGGTACCTTCAGTGGGATTCCACCATCGATGTAGAGCCAGACATTTCAGTAAGGCCAGGGGTGAGAAGCTGCATGGCAGCTGACATCGACTCCTCGACCCGGTTGAGAGCCGCTGACTCCAGTCCAGTCACCAGTGCCTAGTTTGTCGTCGCCTATCCTGGAGATGGGCCGTTTCACCGGATTTAGCGGCCGGAGATGGGCTGTTGGGGCTCGTTCGGGCATAATTCGAGTTCTCCGTTATTGGAGCAAAGACTGACGTGTGTTGGCGCCCATTCGGTGCGGAAATTCGGACGTGGTCCATGAGCGTTCCTTCACATCGATCAGTCCGACTAGCACCGTTGAGCGTCGCTCCGTTCGCTCGGCACATGTGGTTTCTTTTCGTTCGCAGTGCATCATTCTTCCCGGTCTAATCCAAAAGGGGCCAGACATCGCCAGGATAATGCCCTAGCCTTCCAAGACGATTCATTTGGGAACCTGGCAAGCTGCACGGATTCAGCCGACCCGTCGACGCTCGTGGAAACTCCGCCTCCGGAACCATCGGGTCCGACCCCTGCGGTCGTCGCGTCGGTCACGTCGCGTCGTACCCAGCAGTCACAGGTCGCTCGCTCGCTCGGGGGTGCCGGTTCCGAAGGGAGGAAGGAAGGAGTACAGGTGCCGTCGGGGTATCCCCGTCGTCACATCCACGGCCACTCACTTGGGGACGAAGCAAACCACCCCGAGCGACATGTGACTCCTGGTAGTATGATAGAACAACCAGGACCTTCCAAGTCCGGTGGTTTTTTGGACACCCCTTTTAACCTCTATGAGATTCTAGGAGGCTACTTATAGACACCTCTTGGAAGGTCCTGGTATGGTTGTTTGCTACTTCTATAAGGCTATTGAATCCATGTTTGGCTGGGAATCCATTGAAAATTCCAAGGTCAGTCATACAGCCCGAAATTTCCGCACCAGACCCAACTTGTGTTCCTCCCTTGGGTCGGAGCTTCTGCCGGAGGAACATGAGTAGCAGCCCCTGTCAGACGAAAAGCTGGAAGCTGGAGCAGCGACTGCAGATTTTCATTGCCCCTCTCAGAATCCAGGTTCCACTTTATTCATGTTCTTCCCTTTCCTGTAGAGGCTCTTCTTCCAGCACGCCATGGCCTGGTGGCGGGCGAGGCTTTTCACCCGTGCAAGGTCCAAGCGCTGGAATCCATGTGGACTTGGTGAACCATTCCGCGTCCGTTCTCCGACAACACGTTGAGATTTTCGGGTATTCCGACGACAGTTCCTACTATGGAGAATCTTGGGTATAGGTATACCCAAGCAGTTTCGTTCGGTGAGAAAGTCCGTCTGAAAGAAGCACTGCGGTCTCCAGCGACATCATCTTCGGCGAGTATTTGTTGGGGGGCCCCCGTCTAAGAAAAACTGGGTTGTAGAGGAACATCGTCTTGCAAGGGTCCGTGTTCAGGTTCGTTTTCTTCTCTCCCGGGTGCAGTCTTGCGTGCTATACAGATTGAAAGGACGTGGGGGGGAAGCCTGGATCACCCCTCCATCGCAAGGCAGAAGATGTTCCATTCAAAGACTTGGTCTCTTGGACTCACCAAACCACACTACAGGACCACAGTATACCACAGTGCTGAAGTGCTGGTTGTGTTGGTGGTCCTACAGGTTGTGGGTTGGTTTTGCTGGACCCCCTTGGTCGGAACCGCTTCAGTCGTTCCGGCTCAAAGGGTGGGGACGACCCTGGGATGACTCTGGAGCGACGTGGTGGAAGCGTTCACCAAGCGAATCGGGGCGCCCCGACATTTTCAATGAGACAAACTCCCCTCAGATGATGCGTAGCGGCAGGATGTGGCAGGGGACACGGATGCTGCTCGCAGTTCGTCGCAGCGCAATTGGGGTCTTTCGGCCCGCACTCCAGAGAGTCTCTTGCCAGATTTAACCTGATTTAACATGAATTTAAGGATCTGTTTGGTGAGAAGAGGACACCTTTTTCTGTGATCTAAGGCACTCAACCCCCAGCTGATTTCATCGCCTTTTCATGCCGGTTCAGAAAACCAGCTGTGTTTACTCCATGATTTTGCACACAAAAACCAGAGGTCGTTGCCGGACTTGCATGGGAATTGATCTCATCCTTTTGGCCTTTTGGACTCAGAGTCCCAGATCAACATACCCAGACACGACACGTCTGCCTATGCCGATCAAGCCAGACCCCCCAGTCAACCACCCCAACTGATCGGCATAGCATACATGGAGTGTCTCGGATAGATCAACCATCAAAAATGGATTTTGGACTTCCACAGGTTGGTGATCCTATCTAGCCGGTGGTGGAGGGAGCGATTTCCCCTAAATCGCACTTGCTAGCCAAAGCTGGACTGGTCCGAGAAGGTCTCCTCTTGGACCTTTTAGTCCACTTTAAAGTCGTGTTGGTTTAGAAGGTATTTCTTACTTATACCACTGGTGAAAAACCCGAAAAGCAGGCCAGAACCAGGCTAAAAAAGCCAGGCTAAAGTCGTCAGACCTGCCGTGAATACAGCAGAGAACCGTCGTCCTCTTTCGGGTCTCCCGAAGGCCACGAGACCTCCGAGGGGAGTTCGTTCGGCGGTCCGAAGACCGCTTTGGTGTCCGCCGACGTATTCGGCCGACCCGCTGCCCCAAAATGTAAAAAAGAAAAATGGAACCGTGGGTCCCATGTCTTGGATATCATAAGGTGCAGTACCCAGACGCTCCGTTCACAGCCCTTGGTTCCTCAAAATCATAGATTGGTTCGACCCCAGACCCCTGCAGAGGATTCGGGTCCATAGGGAGATCCCCCTAGCAAGGGGCAGACTGGTTTTGATGCCCCGAAGCAAACAGCATGAAGTTGCATGAAGTTTCCCAACCCACCTGGAAGTCATTCTCGACCCACTAGTAGTCAGAGTTCACTCGTGAGGCAGTCCGGGGGCAGTCCTATAGGTGACCTGTGTCACCCTGTGTGGGTCCATGTCCAAATGAACGATTCGGACATAGTTTCTTTCGCCGTCCAAGAGCGCGAAGAACAAAGATCCGGCGGCAGACACCGCGCGTGCGCAGCCACCGGAGGATCAGTGGGAAGGCCATGTGGCGATCGGCGTGGTTTTTCTTCCCCACGGTGAGACTTATTACACTGTCCTGGTTTTGCTTATGATTGTTTGATATACCAGCTGCTTCCGGGCGTTCGGGGTCACCTGGCTGGATATCACACTACGTAAACAGGTCTCCTACTCCAGGGCACCCCGACAGGAAGCAGCTAGGTATGATGATGTGTTGTTTTCCCAATCCCAGACACGACACATGGGACTGCCATAGGACTGCCGATCAGTTGACCCCTCATGGCCCACCCCTGGCCGTTTCTCGGCAGTCCGGACTGGCAGTCCCAGTCGTGTCTGGGAATGGTTGACTTCAAATCCTCCTAGTTCTGGTGATGGACCCACGCGCTGGTTGGGTGGTAGACATGGACACCCCGAATCACCTACCTCTTTTCGGAGCGAGTCAATGGAAACCCCTGGTCCGGGTGTCCTGGTTGTGGCCTTTTTCCGGGGGGGAGCAGCAAATCCTGGCGGTGTTTCCGAAGGTTCGCCACTTGGGCTCCACATGAAAAGAGGTGGCCTTTGTAAGTAGCCTCTGTCTGTCCAAGAACCACCGGTCGCCTCTTCGGGGTTGGTCCGAGTCAGAGTCAGGGTCGGTCTGACTGGTGCAGCACCGCCGAAACCTTCGGCTCACACGGCGCTCCGCCACACCCGACACCGGTCTCCCCTCCGACTCGGGCACCCCGAATCATTCCGCACTGGGACCCGGGGTCGGCCTCGCCCGTCCATGGTTTTCCTTAGGCTTCCTGGCCAACCATAAAGGCTTATCAACTAAGGATTTTACAGCTACCAAAATCAGGTCAACCATTTTTTAAATCGTCTTGAAAGTCCAGGGGTTTGGTTCGGGACCAGGAGTCGGGCGGTTTTCACGAGCGTCTGGGCAGGGCCAAACCCGCTCCAGTCGTACCTTCGTTTCGGTGTTTGGGAAGGGTTTAGGGGGTCAAAGACCTCCGGGTTGAAAGGTATTTGGAATCGCGTTGAAGGGTCTACAATGGTCTACATAAGGTCTATGTCTACCAGTACCTTCCAAGTCCGGTTCTGGACACCCCGAATCACCCCTTAAGAGGCTATGACTCTAGACACCTCAGAAGGTGTCGGTCCTGGTATAACTGATCTTCTGGGGAGCCCAACTAAACTAAGTCCAAAGCCTTCCACTGGATGGGGAGCGCCCAGACGGTGAAAACAGGCTCTTTCCATGACCTACTGAAGTAGTTCCCTGCAAAACCGAGAGGAACTTCGAGTCCGCACCCCCCAAGAAAAAGAAACAGGAACTTCAGGCACCCAGTGCTCAACTTCTTCACGGAGGGGTCCAGCGACACAAAAAAACGCTTGGTGAGTCCGTTGACCCGCGGGCTTCGGCCGTGTCCCGGAGTGCGGCCGCATCTCGAGGGACTCCAAGAGGCCCGACGACGGCGTGCCCCATGGCGGGAGGTGGTGTTTTCGGTTGAACCCCCCCCTTGTGGGCGGGAGGACGCGGAGAGGGGAGGTTCGGTGGGTTTTTTGTGAGGTTCAGTGTGACAAGCGAGACAGCAACTGGCTCGAAAGCAGCTTGGGGGGACCAGGATCAACGTCTGGTCGGCTACCAGGACCCACCGTTTGTCCGGTGGTTTTTAGGGCATCCCATCATACGTCTATGTCTTCCAGGACCCTCCAAGTCCGGTGGTTTCTGGAGACCCCGAATCACCCCTAAGAGGCTATTTATAGACACCTCAGAAGGTGTCGGTCCTGGTTTACGAGCTCTATTTATATAAATATCAGCACCGGACTCTACTAGGACCCACAAGGGGTGGTTAATGGACACCCCTTAACCTCTAAGGGGCTCTCAATAGACACCCCTTAGATCCCCTCAGGGTGTCCTGGTACAGGTCTCCGTTGCATGGAGGGTTGGGTGGGAAAGGCCCTGTTGCAGGTTTCAATTGGTGACCTGTTGGTCGTCGGTGCTGGTATAGACTCATAGACACTTCGAAGACTCGGGTACTGGTACATGGAGCGTTTGGGTGGGGTGGAGCCACATGCTTTCCGGGTGGGAATCCCGCCACGGTTCGGCCGCGATGCCCGAAAAAACCGCGTGCCAGGGGTGGGTGTTAAGACTTTCAGGAAGTACAGGTACAGCCCGAGGAAGGGATGAGGTCAACATGGAGGTATGCACGAGGTGTACCCGATGTGTTTTTCCCAATGTCGCTGAATGAAGCATGAGGCACCGCTGTAGGCACCATCCAAATCTTCAGTGACACCCTCCACATTCATGAAGCTCACTTCAAAAATCTCCCAAACCCAGACACGACCTGTTTGGGACTGGTATATATGCCGATCAAGTTGACCCCGGGTCAATCAACCACTCAACAAAAATACTGCGTTCCATATATGCCAGTCCGGCCCAAGTGTGCCCAGAATCCTCAAAACGGGCCGTGCCAGACCTTCCGGTCCTCACCTCGTCCCCTCCTCGACACGGCCCATAGGGTTGAGTCCCGTTGGTCCAGTCCTGTCGCTAAGGAACTCCAAAGAATCAGGACGGAACTCGGGGGGGTGGTATCACCTGCCCAAGGCCTTTTTGGGAGGATGGATTGGTTTCATTGAACAAGGCTACTCTGGAGGCTATACTATAGGTGGAAAAAGACGATGTTCCCAGGGAAAGGGCGAGGTAGAGTCAGAGGTAGACTCGGTCTTTGGTGGCTTGCCGACGTGGCTGTTGCTGAGTAGGCTCCGTAGGCTGGTGCCCTGGGGCCCTGGGGGTTGGGACAAAGAGGCGACGACACAACGGGGATCAAGGGTGCTCGTAGAGTTGTGGTGTTCTCCACAAGGCTCAGTGAGCTGCCGATCTTCCTTTGGACCTAAATCAAAGGCTTCCTATCCCAGACCAGCCAATGGAACCCAGTGCATCCCAGTTACCACTATAATTATAAGGAACCAGGGATTCTAGGTCTATGGTGTTCTTTGGAACCAACTGGTTACCAGCGACATCGTGGTTTGCCTGGATGCCCTGGGGAATATATATGCCGATCAGTTGACCCCCCCAAAGAAAACCTCACCTGATCAGTCAAGATGTCAGTCCCGGAAGGCTGTGGGTCGGCACCTGAGTCCGTCCCTCACCCGACTGACCTACTCGGTTTGACCTGTCATTGGTCGTCGTTGGTCGTGTATGTTCAGTGCAAAAAAAATCATCGGTGGATCGATGTGTGCTGGTTGATCGAGTGGACTGAGAGCCAGACATGGCCCCCCGGTTTGTCGGAGGTTCATGTCGGCCCCCATCTTACCCAAAGGCAACAGCCCGACTGGTCCCTCAAAACCATAGGGATTTGAGACCCCAGACCCCTCCATATGAGGGTCCCGGGTCGCGTCTGGGCAAGACATTCCAAGACGGTGCCACTGCCATCGAAGGTCTGAAACGCAAACGGACCCTTCGACCGATGTGGCGCGCGCCTCCGCCGCGCCCCGATATGGCTGGTGCGTTTTCGCCAAGCGCGCATGGCGCGCGTATGCGCCGCCGCCGGCTCAAGAGTGGGGGGATGGAAGCCCCGTTCATTTCGGGAACCTGAAAAGCACTGCGTTTTGTAGAAAAAATAGCCATCTTCCAAAGGTCAATGTCCATGTTAATCTTGCGTACATTTCACTGTCACCCTACCTCACATACGTATAGATTCCTGACCAGGGGGCGAGGCACGGACAGACCGCCATTTTGCGCAGGAAGCCACTTGGGATGCTTCCTCCCGAAGAGATCCGTCAGTCCAAGCTGCTTCCTACCGGGTCCTGAGCCGCTTGACGCCACTGAATCTTCCAGGGAGTACCCTCACTGCCAGGTCCTCCGGTCGGTGACCCCTTGGAGGATGGCAGAGGAGTATCATCACCCTAGCCTTCAAGGACTTTTCAAAGTGCTTGGCCCGGTGTTGGTAGGGTAGAATCAGTCGAAACAAACCAATGGCGCGGTTCGATTCAGGCGCGCAGCGCGGATCTGTCTTTTCGGTCACCGCGTTCACCATGTCCGAGCGTTCACCGCCCCGACTCCAACCCCAGGTGGAAGGTCCAGCTGGTCCCGGTCTGGTTGATCCATGGTGATCCCATCTCCAGCGTGGGCCCATCCAGTTGGTCTCCCTCTCTGGATATTTGGTAGGCTTCCTGGCCAACCATTTATTTTAATAGGCGGGTCATCCCGAATCAACTAAGGATTTGACACTACAAACAACCAGGTTTTTAATGGTATTGGAAGTCTATAGTTCTGACCCTCCGTCTCATATTTCGGCACGCCATGGCTCGCCACCACCGCGCCCCCAGTGCTCGCCTTGCTGTCGGGGAACTCGCCTGGCAGGGTCCAGTGGGTCCAGTGGGTACTCGGAGAGAGAGGACTGGAAGAGTGACGATGCCATGGGATGGGTCATCAAAGTCATGGGGTTTTCGAACGGAGCAGAGGAAGAAAGGTGTCAATCTGTAGACTCTTGATATCTCTTTGATAGTTCTGAGTGTGAATTATATACCTGGACCATACCTGGACCTGAAAAAGGGGTGTCCCGTCTGGAGGTCCCTTGACTTGGTAGTATAGGGGCTTTCATTTATGACCCCGACATGAAGGTGCTGGTATATATACTGTATAGAGCAGCATGTAACATCATGCAGCATCATGTCTTCCAGTCCCATGGATGGTCCGGGGTAGACTGTTGATGAACCAAGACATTTTGGGGGATGGTGGAAACGCCTGATGAGCTTTTCTTCGTGGTCGGGACGTAGCACGGCGTTTCGATGTGACGCATCGCCCGGTGCACGCTTTGCAGTGAAAAGGGTCCCGACTCATGGGCCCCCCAACCATACCCTATAGGGCTCCAGTCGTACCTCCTGAGATGGTATGACTGGACCCTCCAAACCCGCCTGAAACACCTTCGAAGACACTTGGAGCCCTAGGGATAGGGATTGGTGAGAAGGTCCAGAGCAACCTGACCCGTTCGGAACCTCGTGTTCCGACCCCGTCCAGGAGTGTTTGGGTAGATTCGATCCGTTTTGGACCACTTGTCCAACCAACTTCCAGGGTTTTTCATGGTTTGATCAAAGCTATATCAAAGACGCCCTCCGTTGCACCATGTTGCACCCCTAAGGCCCTAAGGATTTCGGACATGATGCCCCGGAAGGGATGCCCCATGCAGCAGAAAGCGAGTCGCACCACTTTGTTCACTGATGATAGGTGCATTCTCCTGCATGGAGCTCTTCACAGGAACTACATAAATTCAAAAGTGGGTGTCTTGCACCTGGACCTTCAAGGGGTGTCCAATGGAGGTTCCTTAGTAGTGGGCTGGGGCGAAACCAGCCAGGTGACCCCGACGCTGGCATGTCTTAGTCTTTCGCTTGACCAGATTTGGTCACTCCACTCCTCTTGAGCTCATATCCTCAACGAAGTCTCGATTCCGAGATCCGCAGGATCGAAACGCCACGGATCGTCGATGCTGCCGAAACAGCTGCTCTTGGCTCAAGTCAATCGAGAAAGCACAGCAATCCGTAGAGCAAACCCTTCTCTACCTGTTATCCATGATGCTCAGCTAGGTGATGTTTTTGGGGGTGGTGCCATCAAAAGCGATCTCGAACGCTTTTCGTGGTGCTTCGCGTCAGTGGTTCGAGTACACCGTGCTTTTACGGGCTGTGGGCCATTCCGGTGAGGTTCACCCACACCTCCCAAACACCACCTGTTTGGGCCTGGCATAGGACGGCCGAGAAAAGGCCAGGGGTGGTTGGTTGAAAAGGGGATGCGGCACACCTATAGATCTTCCAACAGGTCACCAACCTGCGACTTTCAAGTCTGCAAAAGCCACCAGAGGAGACCTGTTGGAGGGTGCTGGTATAGATCTTCCAACTACGTAGTATTTCTGCATTTTAAGCTGGTTTTATGGATGAAAAGGCATAAATGTTGCACAGTTGGAAGATCCAGGTATATGCCAGTCCCATGTGTGTCTGGGATTTATATATCCCAGACACTCCATGTATGCCATATATGCCTACATTGACCCCCAAAACCACCCCAATGTAGGCAGATATGGCATACATGGAGTGTCTGGGTATGGATTTATCGTTATATACGCATATAACATCCAGCACCGACGACCAACAGGTCACCAATTGAAACCTGCAACAGGGCCTAACACCCATCCAACCCTCCATGCAACGGAGACCTGTTGGGTTTGGTGTTGGATTGAGGTCCTTGAAAACGGGGTCAATGTATATCGCAAGTCCTATGCCAGTCCCAAACCGGTCGTGTTGGTTTCCTTGGTCTGATACCCCAAACAGCTCGACTGGTCCCTGAAAACCCTAGGGGAGAAGGTCCGGACCCCTACTGAACTGTTCGGGTCCAGGGTCGCGTTTGGGTTGGTCGATACCCCTGAGCAAAACCTCCATCCGATTTCGAGGTGCTGCGGCAATCGACGAAGGGATTGATGACGATGAACCACCCGTCGACGCGACCCGTTTTCGTGAGTGAAAAGCCACCCGACTCAGACGGTGGTCGAACCAAACCGGGATTGGGTGAGGCCCATCCCAGACCCCGGGTTTGTTGTGCGGAATACCACGGGTCTGGGTGTAAAGTCCCATCCAGTGAGGTGGATGATCTGGACCACCCTGACTACCTCCGAGTCCGCTTTCCTGTCGAAAACGCCCAAGAACGGGAAATTTCTTCGTCTTCGGTACACTTTGGAGGGGTGAAACCCTCGGAAGTGAGCGTTCTACCTACGCGCGCCACGCGTCTCTTTGATCGTTCCTGAACCCCCGGTCATCCGAACTGGGACCCGGGGTCTGGGGTCTGGCCTCAGCAATCCCGATCGGTTTGGTTTGGGACCCGGATCGAAGTAGGGCTGTGAACTCACGGAGCGTCTGGGTGAACCAAGCTATACTCGTGCTGTCGAAGTCACCACTGCAGTGGAGCAGCTGTCACACGAAGTCACCACTGGGTGTTGGATATGGGATCAGGCATGGGAATCCTTTTGAACTTGTTCCCAGACGCGACCCGCAACAGCAGGGGTCGCACCTGTTTTACGGTCGGGGGTATGGACCTTCTCACCAATTCCTATGGTTTTGAGGGACCAGGAAAGGGCTGTTTTCACGGAGCGTCTGGGCTCTGCATTGTTCTTCATTCCCGAAGCCGCACCACTGAGTTGCTGTGATCACTTATATTGAAACACCAACAATCAAAGTAGGGAACCCACATAAAGGGAAACCCAGTGGGAAACCCTTTTTCGTCTTCAATTCCACCCTTGAAAGGTTTCGGTTGACCTGGTCTTGCAGTGTAAGATCCTTTTCGTGAAACCATGGGTTTTCTTCGGGATTCATGAAAATACACCTCATGGGCGACCGGAGGCAGACCGCTCTCAGGACCTGGCTACTTCAAGTGGCCTTCTTTACCGCGGCCTACGCGGCGGCGTCTCCTTCGCAGTGGCAGGAAGCAGCTCGGCCGGAGAGGTTGTCTGCGACCGTCGGGGGAATTGGAGAAGCCAGACGCGACCCTGGACCCTCCCGTTCAGTAGGGGGCCGTACCTCATATGGAGGTGTCCGGACCTTAAAAACCCGGCGGTTTTGAGGGACCGGCCTGTGTCGAGCGTCTGGAAAGAAAGATTCTTCCCAGTCCAGACCCGTTCATAGCCCTTTCCGGGTCCCTGAAAACCAAACACGACACGTCTGGGACTGCCATAGGACTGCCGATCAGGCCAGGGGTGGTTGAAAAGGGGACAATGTAGGCATATATATGCTAACCTAGTTACATGGAGCGTCTGGGCTAAAGAGATTGGTTCGGGTCCAGACCCCTCAAGAGGGTCCCGGGTCGCGTCTGGGTTTGGTGGGAAAAGCAGCAGCGGACTCGAGTGAAGACCAGAGAAGAAATCGCAGCGCCCCACGAGCACCCCGTTGCGGTCTTCGAATGACAGGTGACGACCCTGGGAGGTGCTACGGGTGGTACCCAGACGCGACCTGGGACCCTCATATATGGAGGGGTCGCACCCGAATCCTTTGGAGGAGTCTGGACCTTCTCACCAATCCCCATGGTTTTGAGGGACCAGTCGGGCTGTGCACGGAGCGTCTGGGTCACATCCTAATTCAAGAGGAAGTCTTAGGTGTGACAGCCCTACCAGTCCAAAGAGCCAGTAAAACCTGGTCTTTTACCTCATTAAGTATTCCCTAGACTTCCAAGATCTTCCATTTAAAAAAATGGTGTAAAATCCTTAGTTGATTCGGGATGACCCGCCTATGAAATGAATGGTTGGCCAGGAAGCCTAGGGTATTGGTTTTGTATGACCATCCCCAGTCAAATGAGGTCGACTTGTAGGGCTTCCAGCGGTGTTTTGGGCACCAAAAGGACATCCAACGGATCGAACAGGGGCGGTGGCCGCACGGGCGGCGGTGTGAACCGCCCCCGTTCCGCCGGTTTGGACCAAGGGGGCGGCGGCCGAGTCTTGCGAAGCTGGGCCACAAAAAAGAAGGGAATCCCAGACACTCCATGGGACTGCCATAGGACTGCCGATCAGTTGGGGTGGGCCATGAGGGGTCAACTGATCGGCATATATGGCATACATGGAGTGGTTGGGAATGGGGGATGCATGCAATACCCAAACACGACACGACGAAGGGACTGCCAGCCAGGACTGCCGAACAGCATTGGGGGTGGTTGAAAGGGGTCAATGATCCCTCAGACGTCCGGCCCCTCTGCCCGAGTTTTGAGGGCGAGTCCCTGCGTGATTCACGGTGTTGGGGTCCGACCCCTACCATGGAGGGTTGTTGGGATTTTTAGGGACATGAAATGCCCAGACGCGACCCTGGACCCTCCTAAGTAGGGGCCGGACCCTCCTAAGTAGGGGTCTGGACCAATCCCTAGGGTTTTGAGGGACCAGTCGAGCTGTTTGGAGCGTCTGGGTGGATAATATACAGGGAATGTTAGGGAATATGATGAATATGATCTCAGATGCGACCCTGGACTCTCCTAATGTAGGGGCCGCAATTTGATGTGGAGGGGTCCGGACCTTCTCACTCGTGTTTCATCCTCGCACCGGAAGCGACCCCCGGCTCTGAGAGCCACGGAAAGAGCGGTGCCTCCGAAGGAGCGACCCCTCGGACAGCTCCGAGGAGGTTTGGGTCCTGACCGAGTCCTGACCTCCTCTTCTTAGGGCAGTGAAGCTGCTTTAGAGGAGTCACGAAGGAAGTTTCGGTGGATTCAGCTTAACGCAGCATTCAAAACTTGATTTCTGGGCGGAATGGTCAGATCCGGTTATTTTATGTTATTTTCACCTCGAAGGTTTGTGGTTGTTTGCTTTTTTGGGAGGAATCAAGAAAATTGAGCTCTGCTATGGCCTGTGCACAAAGCATCTTGAACATGGTCTTATGAGTCTAATAGCAAGTTGTGTTATGAGGGCAGCAAACCAAGATTCATTCTACAGTGATGTCGATCAGGTAACACAAGAATCGTGTTTTGCGTTTGGTGACTTGCCCAGGTGAAATGGAACCTTCACCTACAATGTAGCACTTGGTTTCGGGGCCGAACAGGTCGCCTCTGGGGGTGGAGACTTTTCGAGAACTTCCCGTTTCTCCGCTCCGTTTTCGTGAACACCGCCCTTGCTCGGTTCCGAACCAAACCATATAGGGATTGGTGAGAAACCCCAGAGCCCCAGAGCCGCAGGTCGCATCTGGCTTCGTCTTTCGTTGACTCTGCAGCTGAACTGTGCTCACCCCGCGCGAAAGCACGGCTTGGTGTGTGTCGTGTGTGTCGTGTCCGGACGCGCCCAGGAGAACGACGGTGGCCAAGGACTCTTTCAAAAGTCTTTGGGTCGCGTGGGCCGATCCATGCAACATGAAAACCCGATGGACAAGCGCTTCGGATGAAGGGACGGCTCGTGCCTTCTAGGGGAGGGGAGGGAGAGTCTGGCGGGGGTGTGAACGCCAGACGTCGTGACGCACCCGACGACGTCTTCTCGTGGCAAGTGTAGCACTTCAGCAGCTGAATCTTTCAACGACCTGCAGATGGAGCTCCTGCTAGTGTAACATGGACCGTGAAAACCCGTGAAAACCCACCCACGTTCGTGGTAGATGAGAAGAGCCTTCAGGGGTCTATGTTCACAGTCCATCGAATCAGCATGGGGGTAACCTGATTGGGAGCTTCCATCTGGTCGTTTTGACGTGCGACGATGGGCCTCCAACTTGGCCACCATGATGTCCTTGCATTGGCAGGATTAGTACCTACCCAGACACGACCCTGGTCCCGAACAGTTCAGTAGGGGTCCGGACCCGAACCAATCCCCAGGGTTTTGACGGACCAGTCGAGCTGTGAACGGAGCGTCTGGGTAACACGTGCACATGGGAGAGTACACGATCAATGAACAGGGCGGCCCTGAAGACTCGGCTAGACCGTCTGAAGACCTGTTTTAGGTGGTACTCGGTCTTCCCTCACTCGGTCTTCACATGGTCGTTTGATGAGTCAAAGAAGAACTCTCCACATCTCCCCCACTCCCCTGAAAGATTCCTGGCTCCGAGTGTAAGCTTCTGGATGGCGAACTTCGGTTTTGGGAACCGCTCACGGACGCCCGTGCGCGCACGGACCGTCCGCGAGCTGGTGCGTAGGTCGAATGAAGGGGAAGTATGGTCAATACACTTGGACTGGAGGGCCAAAGGTCTTGTACCTGTTTTTGATAGGGTCATGTCATGTCCCATGTTCTATTGTACTTTGGAGGGTCCAGGTCTATTATACCTATATAACTGTACATTGTAGTTGAATTTTCGTTGGGGGGGTTCTGGGGTCAGCATCTCCAGTCCCAGACAGGTCGTGTTTGAGATTGTGAGAGTCTGCTTGAGCAGCTCTCACGTGCAGCATTGAGTTATTTTCGGTGGATGTCTAGCACCAACAAGTGCACGAATCAGCGGTTCACATGTTCCACCCAACACTTTAACGCGACCCGGGACCCGTTTTTCCGAACGGGTCAGGGGTCTGGGATGGGCCTCACCAATCCCTATGGTTTGGTTCGGGACCAGGAGTCGGGCTGATTTGAAGCTGATTCCCAACCAACGCCACGAATCACCAGACTTCCGCTGCGGTTCAGTTGCTTCTTCTCTTCGGTGTTTGGAAAGGACCGATCGGTTCGGTGCCCAAGTGGAGTGGAGACCCCTCTTCGAAGTGGTGAAGGGCGTCTATTGACCACCCCTTAGGATCTAAACAACACCCCCTTGGAGTCTCCTGGAATGTACTTTTTGACGACCAGAAGTCACATAGCTCGGGCCTGCGTGGTGTGTTTCGTCGACCCATCCGGTACCGGGGCCGTGGATGTGACGTGCACCCCGGAACCGGCGAACCGGCACCCCCGACGCGACGTCCGCACCCCGTGCTCTGCTGGTAGTTCACCCTGTTTTTGAAAAATGCCAAACCCTACAAATCCAGTCGTAGCTCCTCAAAAGGTACGACTGGACCCGAACCTGGCACCCGGGCCCCCAGTCCCACCGAACCTCAGGTTCGGTACGACTGGATCCTTAGGGGCGAAGGGTCGCACATGTCACGAAACTGCGCAGGTACTTGGACCCTCAACCTCCGGCCGTAGGATCTCAGTTCTAGCCGCTATTGGGTCCAGGATTTGTTGTTGTTTTATTTCAGGTGATTCTGATGTTGGTATTTTCCCATATATGTTTAAATCACACATATACATGTCCATCCCTTAATGACTGTAGAGTCTCTAAATAACCTCCTGCTTTCCTTGCAGCGTCCATTCCTTTGAACGTGGAAACGGCCACGTCCACCTTGGGAATATGTTCCTTTTCCTTTCCAGGCTTCCTAGCTTCGCTGGATTTCTGTTCCCACCGGGTCGGGATCGAACGGTTTGGAGCCCCTGCTCGCGGCGCGTGGGGCTTGAGGCGAGTCTATTTGATTTGCACATCCCATAAGGCTGGGAGCGAGCTGATGCGGAGACTCGGCTGCGTCCGCTGGTGCGAACCCGGGTGTGAGTGCGTGCGTGCGAACGTCCGAATCGGCGTCAGCGCAAGAAAGAGCACCCGAAACCTGCCAGGTCGTTGTTCTTGAGGGCTATTGGGCCTTAACGGGTCTCAATTGGTGACCTGGTAGGTTTCGGGTGCTAATAGATGTTTGACATGTGGTTGACATGTTCCCCAGCCAACACCACGGAGTCTGGGTATCACCTCTCCTAACTACATGGTTAATGGTGGGGTACGTGGTGGCTGGCCATTTAGTTAATTTTGCATACAGATCAACTGACCAGTCTCACTGGTGAGTTCGGAAAGAACTTCATGACCATACCACATTCAATGCTGGTGGTTGGATGTGTTGATAGATGTTGATATATACTTATCACACATGACCTTTGAAAACATACGAAAACATCTTGTATTTTCTAACACATTCAAAGTAAACTAAGAATGCTCCCTGGCATTTGCTTTGCTTCCGGCAACATCCAGCCCATAGTCTTGTGTCATTTGTGACGCCGGTCACTGCCTCAGCAGATCTTTTATGACGATTGGTGGGGCATGATTACGAAAGCCAGCCTTCGTAGAAGGCGCGAGCTGAGTTGTGTTTGGCGAACGAAGTGAGTAAGTAGGGGGTCTGGGGGGGGGTGGCCCGAGAAAGTACCACGTAAACTCGAAATTAGGTGGGGGAGAGGGGTGCGCGGAAGTAAGGTTTTTGAGATTGTGTTGGAGGTGATTTTGAGAGGGTGGTGATGCAAGAAATGAAATTTGCATCACTTGCATCATCTGAATGGTAAGGTGTAGCTGGCGGGTATAGATACCCAGGGTAGCTACCAGGCAGTTACCAGGAATAGTACTTCAAGTTCCCTTTTCGTTAACCGCTCGATAACCTTTGCACACGCACAGCAATCCACAGCTTTGATGTCTCATGCGTGCGATACCTGGGAACAGAATTGTAGCTACCCTGGGTCCGTATAAATGCCATGTTGCTATACCTCTTACACACATGTAAGTTCAAAGCACGAATGAGACTTCAAAGCTGTGGATTGCTGCACGTGTAAAGGTTATCGAGCGGTTGACGGAAAGGGAACTCGAAGTACTATACCGACTATACCTGGTAACTGAAGTGTAGCTACCCTGGGTATCTATACCGTGTAGGGGTGCACGGAAGCAAGGTTTTGGAGGTGCTTTTTTGTGATTTGAAGAAATGCAATTGTCTTCGGTTGCTTGAAGTGCTATACTTGGCAACTGAATTGTAGCTACCCTGGGTATACCTGGCAACTGCCTTGTAGCTGCCCTGGGTCCGCGCGCGCACCTAAATCTGGGCAGCCGGGAGCCAGCAAGGCACGCTCGCGCACGGACCCAGGGTAGGGAATTTAAAGTGCGATACCTAGCAACAGAATTGTGGCTGGCTTTACTCGTTGCTCAGGTGGTACATGCTTGTTCATGAAAGAGTTTGAGCGTGACGGTGCTTAGATGGGGCTGGTAGACGTTGGCCATTGAAGCTAGAGTTTGCAAATATCTTGCAGTGCATTAATTGCACTGAATTTAAGCACTTTTGTTGTCTCAGGTGATGCTGAGATATGCTGAGATGTATGTTGGCTTATTTCAACACACTTGAACTCGAGCTGCATAACAACTATGTACAGCTATGCATCCTGCATCAACTTATTTCAGGATATATTGGGATACCATGTATCAACGAATGCCACCAAATATATCCACACATCATCAAATTTCTTTTTTGTGGTTTGCGAATTTGCTTCAGGATTTCTATCTTGATATTTCTTTGTATGTAGTCTTTATCTATATTTACCTATGTTATGAAATCAGTATATTATTTACATGCCAACATATGTTAACAGGGTTCAACAATGCTTACAGGCACCTGCAGATGTTGAACTTTCATATACCTTCCCATACCTCACTTATCTGGGCACACTTGGAGCATTGATGCGCGTTGCCAAAATTCATCGGTGATTTTCACGGCTCATCGATGATTTTGCTGCAAGCCATGGGGTGGCGCAGCTTGTTCTATCACCCGCTCCGTGGTGAGCACACGTTTTACTGCACATCTTCGAACAGTTCTCATTGGCTCCATGAAGGCTCCAGGTATGGAGCTGTTCGCGCCTTGGCTTACCTTCGCTTTCAAAACCTTTCTCAGCACATAGCACGACCACTGATGACCGCTGTCATGGCTTCGCCCCTGTAAAATGTAAAAGCGTCAGGTCATTTAATGATATTTCATGTGATTTCATCTCAACAAGTTTCAACCCGTGGTGCGCTACACTGAACACATTTCATGAGTACATGGACACAGGGTGTTACTTGGTGGATGGTTCTTGGTTATGGAAAATTCATGTTATCTATAGACTAGCTGTAAAATACTTAACCTACTTTTAAGTTCGATAGGTTCTGTAAGCTCTTAAGTCAGATTGTGCAACTTTTACTTTCAATCCCTAGGAAAATTAGTATGTAGTAAAAGTTTTTGCAAAAAATGAAAACAACTTACAAACAACTTAGAGAACTTACTTAGCTTTTTCGATGTTGCGAGTTTATACTTGTTCAAAAAACTGTTCAAAACAAATTTTCTCTGTGTTCTAATTAACTGCTTTTCTTGATTGCTTTCAAAGGGCTGCTTTCCTCTAGAGTGCTGGAGGACCATCCGTTCGAGTAGAATGTTAGAACTTGTTGGTTCCCTCTTGTTTTGCGCAATGCCTATATACAGCGGCTGCTCAAGGAGCCGCCCTCGTATATGTATATACAGTAAGCACAGGCTCCGTGTGCAGCAAGACAGGCAGCTGAGGCAGCACGCGTGCTGAGCAATCACTTGACCCCCGCAGTTGCGAAACCAAAAATTGTCCTCAATCAATCAGCCAAACTTAAATCCTGACTCGTTGGCAACTCAATGAGCCGCTTGTGAAACACTGAATGGTATTTCACAGAACTTATCACATGACAACCAACATATTCGGTATTGTCAATTTGGAGCCAAACGTTTACATACATAGAAGAACTGATAACTTTGCAATTTATACATGTATAAATTATAAATTGTATCTATTTTACATGTTTCATACATTTCTACACCTTGTGTTTCTCTGGTATGTGAAGACCATTGGCTACAGGTATACCTGTTGCTCAGCAAGCTCGATATTTGGATATCTTGGCACAAATGGTTCCCTGTTGATGAGTTGAGGGAGTTTGGCATCAACTGCATTCAACAATCAACCAAACCAAGTGCGGCATCAACCGCATTCAGCAATCATCCAAACCAAGTGCATTAGATTGGAACCTGTCACATACATTGCAAGCAAATAAGTTGCATGATTGTTGCCAAGGAGCTTATAGAAAGTCTTTCTTGCAAACTGAACACCTATAGGGGGCAATTACTTATTGGAAAGGAGTCTTTCTAAATAAAAAGTCATAGAGTGGTGTAGCTGCCCATTGGGCCGCCAGCCGCATGTGTATAGCTACGGACACTCACTTAGAACCCTAATTTTTTCCAAAATCTAAAAACCCACACTTAGAACCTCTGGAAATCCCACACTTAGAACCTCTGGAAATCTGGCACTTAGAACCTTTTGGTGCTTATGCCAAAACGCACACTTAGAACTTGGTAGCCAATGAACGTCAATGACCAAATATCATGATATTGACATTCTTTAGATTCACAGTGGCCTTGGTGCAGCATCACACTTAGAACCTGCCTCCTTAAGATAACAACAGAAAGGTTATGATGCTTCTGGATGAAAAGCTCAGCATGCATTGAACGCTGATGATTCATTCCTGGGCAATCCTTGAAGCTTCCATCTACATAGTTACTATAGGCTATCATTCCAGCTATGACAAACCAGCTATGACAAACCAGTAAAGCGACTGCTGTCACCGTCTTGCAATTGAGCCAAATGTGTAGGCTTCCAGCACCCAAACAACAACTCACCAAAATTTATGTGCGCTGCCAAATGTCAAAATAGCTTGCGCGACACTCACTTAGAACCCTCGGAACTCCACAGCTGCAAACATCTTGTTTTTCATGCTTCTAAGCGTTTACTTAGAACCTTGCAGCAGCGCGTTTAGAAAAAGTATTTTTTCCAAAATAGCTTCTAAGTATTTGTCCGTGACTATATACATGTGCCTTTGTGTACCTGGCCGGCCCATGTACGTTTTGGCCAAAGATACCAGTAAAACAAGTGCAAAGCAGTTTTCCAAACAGCAAAAAACTGCAAACCAAAAAACCTAGCATTTTAAAGTTATTTCTATTTACAAAACTTTTATATTACTTACAAATAGCTTATACAAGTTAGTAATGCAATGTCAATATGCGCAGTTTGTAGTTTTGTAAGTTACCTTACGAGTTTTCTATGTGGTGTAATTGCTATAGCTAACTTGTTCCAAACAACCAAGAACCATCCAGATTTGTTGCGAGGTTTCGCATGACTTTAGTTGACTTTTTTTTGACCGCGCTTGTAAAATCTTGATGCGCATATATATGTATTTATTTATTTAAACATGTTCAAAAACTTCTTGGCCACATCTGGCACCTTGTTTGCTTGGATCGCTTCTGCAGCTGTTGGATTGGTATGGGTTAGTGTATAATTGGACTCAGGATGATTCAGGCATTGCACTCAAAATATTTTGTCATATCTTGTCATCTAAGCACCCTGTAACAAATGCTGAGTGTTCACCCGTGTTGGAGCGAATCTCGGAGACAGGCAAAGGTTGCAAGCCTTTTGACCCACAAGACAAGAGCTTTACCAGTGCAGAGGCTTGCTTGCGCCGAATCCAGCTCATGCTCCCAGCAATGCGAGCCTTCTGCCCCCAGCAATCGTGAATATATGCTTTCCAAGGTGCAACTCACTGGTGATGTCCAGGCACAAAACCCGTACAATGAAGCAGCTCATCAGCTGGCAGTGGCCAAGGCAAACTGTTTGTTGAGTGAACCCCATCACTCGCGCCTGTCAGCTTGGCAAAACGCACAGAAAGCCGTGGTGCGCGGTACTTCAGCGCCTTCTGGTGTTACAAGCGCGTCCAGCTTCAAGCAGGCAGAAGACCTCTCACCTCAAGTGTACTTTGCGTATACTATACTATGTCTAGCAGTGAGCTCAAGATTGGCCTGGGGACGACAGTTTCAGGGGCACAAGGGCAAGAACGATCACTGCGAATAAGCCGGAACATTGACTTTAGCGCATTGCGCCTGCACCCGTTCAAGCAGAGCAATTCATACTTGACCCTGCAGCTGCCTTTCTCCCGTGGTGCCTTTGTGGATCTTTGCGTAAGTTACCTTTTTTTGTTGATGCTTGTGGGCTAGTCTGCTGCATCCTGCTGCCCAAGAGCAGAAGGGAACTAACATTAACTAACTCCTTGCGCCCTTACACGTAGTTTTTGGCCGCCCCTCCCCTTGAATGGTCCAAGTGCCTGAGCTGCTCTAGCTGGGTGGCCTGCTAGGCTGCAGGGTGGTACCTGCCGGTTTCGCCGGTTCTGCCTAGCACTGCAAGAAAAGGGCGCAAGGGCAAAGATGAGGAGACTGATGTCAGAAGGGGACATCTTTAAACGCTTGCTTTTGGCGCACGATCTCTTATGATGCAGTATGATGCAGTGTGTTTGGATATGTTTTGATGTGTTTGGTAGTGGAATAGCAATTGGTGCTTGCGCAATGGAAAATTCTGCCGCTTGCTAAATTGATGTTGATTGCGCAAGCCTGTGTGACACCAAAACATTCGCAACCCTGCTCTCCTACTCCTGCAGTATCTTACTCCTGGAAATCATGGACCCGCTGGGCTCCGTCCTTGTGGTTGACCCACAAGGCTGCGGTCGGGGAGCCCCTCAGCTACACCATTAGGCTTTCAGATTCGAGCTGGACAGCTCGTCGGTGAAACCACCTGTGAGTTCGCCAGTGTACACGCACCTTGACTTTCAGAGGTCTTCGGGCAAGAATGTTGAGGAATTCTTGCTGCGGTTCCTGGCATCGGGGCACAAGCTTCAAAGGTGCCAGCACCAGAGCCAAGCTTCAGTTCATTTCAGCTCCTTTGGTTGTGACATCCTGTGGCACTAGCAACCTTCAAAGGTTAAAGAGTTTCTGCGCGGTTCAGCTTTCTATGTGAAAGTATGAAATGATATGAAATGATGCAAATTGTTTTGTGATGTAGTGTCAAAAAACTTGAGGTATCTTGACTGACCCGGCTTGTCTAGCAGTGTTGGCCAATGGCGCCACTCGATCTTTCCAGAAGTCGTCAGTGTTGGAACATGTCCAACAAGTTCAAAAGCATGAAACGTGACAGGACATAGGTGGCACATGGTAGCGCTCTTTACTCTTTGGCATCGATAGCTGGAAGGTCCAATAGGGTATACTTGAATGCAAATTGATGCCATGACCTTTTATTTCACGCAATGACACGTTATGACGCATTGAGAAAGCCAGCGCTGAATAGAACTGAAAACACATTTGTTGACTCTCTATGTCTTCTGTTGTCTTCTACTTATCAGGGGCTCCTTGATCATGCTTCCTATGAAGCTTGTCTATTCAGGACCATCGCTGCTGGGGAAAATAGTAGCATATAGTAGCGCGATGTAGCATGCACAAGCAACAAAAAGCGAGTAATTTCAAAAGCTGCCAAGGTAAGGCGTTAAGGCCATGCATGCGTCTTCATGCGTGATGATGCGTGTTGCTCTTTGTGACGCGTGCTCAAGAGCAACTGCTTGCGGCTGGACATTGCAGAAAATCGGCCTAGAAAATTGTGGAGGTGCAATCGGCATGAACCCACACTTTCCATATGAAATTTGCTGACTCGGCAACCGCCCCCCATTAGAATTGGCTAGCCATTAGACACCCCCCCGGTGATGTTTGGGTAGTTTTTGTCGACGCCCCTGATCTTCCGCCATGCGCTGGAGAATAACCTGTTTTGATGAGTAGATTGAGCCGTGGATGGCATTTTCCATTGTCCATTCAAAGAGCACAGCCAATCTTTCCCACCAAACCTGCCCAGGAAACCCCTTGTCGTGTTGGGGCTGTGACCTGACATGCTCATTCAGCGTTGTGACAGGTGCTTAGGGAGTGGATCTCAGCTTAAGAACTCTTCAGAACTGGGTGCCCAAAATTCCCCACGAAGCACGGGCGTCGTGCGTCAGACTCCCACCCCACGCCACCCCATCCGATCCCGTGTTTCACGACTCTGATTCCGGTCGGTTGACCTCGCTGGTTTTCTCACGCTCCTGGCCGGTCGCTTCGCGAGGAACGTTTTTCGCTGGATCTTCGACCTCATGGGCGTGAAAGAGACCTGCAGGTCGCGACGCTTTTCGGTCGCGACGCGACGGTCGGAGTCGGCGGACGAGCGCGGGGGACTGGGACGCTGACTTATTATTACCAACAGTTGTGAGGAATGGAATTTCCCCAGGATTCCAGGGCATTCCATGGGATTCGGTTCTGCAAAACAACATGGCTTTAGCATGTTTGAAACGAAAAACCGTGAGTCCCTCCACGGGAGGTCCTCCCCTCGCCATTCTTGTTTCGTCCGGGGATGGCCCAAGTAGAGGGCTCGACGAGCATGCGGTGCTTTGTGTGTTCTCCTCGCCCTGTGGCCATGGTGTATATCCAACTTCAAGTACCCTAGACTAGAAAGGGGACGTGTCACAGGGTCGGACTGGTTTTGAGTCCCTTACCGTGGATATGACGTGGGGCACCGGGCCCCCTACTGTTCGGCACCGGCGCCGGGATGTTTTGTTTGGGCTTCGGAGGGAAAAAAGCCACCCCGCCAGACCTTAACATGAATACAGCGCTCAGGCCTTCAAGACTTCGGCAATGAATAGTCGTTCTTCGCCAGAAAAGGTGAGGAAAAAGAACTCTCCGGGACTTCCACGACCTGTCTGCATGGGCCATAATATATATATATATATTTTTGCCCTATAGCCTTCCAAGACAAGTGTGGTTGGCCTGTTGTTGTAGTTTAAATTCTAGTAGAACAAGTGTGGTTCGGTACACAACATGAAAGCAAGGTTGTTCTCACCACCTATACATACGAGGGCAGCTGCCTTCGATGACTCGACAACCCAGATCTCCGCACGAGAGCCAAAGCAGCAACAACACGCCTACAAGAAGCAGAACTACTAGCAGCAAGCAGCACAGATCATTGGATGCAACTCGCCACAAAATCCTCAAGTACATCCTCATCAACATCACCACTGGCCCAACCGCAGCCATATGCTGTCAGCATCAGCGCGAGATGGGCCTTGAGGTCTACAGACAGCTATGCCACAGGCAACACTGGGAACACGCAGCACATCGGCTACCTCACGCCGCTCCTCAAGCCAGTTTTCGATGCCAACAATTTTGAGGAGTCCTTCGCAGGCAGTTCGACCTTGCTCGTACGAACGTGACAACACTATACCAGACCAGGTCGACCAGACCAGGTCAAAATAGCAGTGCTCATGAATGAGACAACAGGACCTCTCCAACACCTTCACCTCAACCCAGGAACAGCAGCAACATATGCCGACCTACAAGCCACAATCATGGAATCTTCGGCCGTCAGCAGGAGATACACCAACGGCAAATGATACAAAGGAAAGGGGTATCAGCAAGGAAAAGGCTACGCACCAACACTGGCAAACAAGCGCCAAAGGAGCAGACAAAGGAAGCTAAGGAAAGGGCAAAGGAGCAATGACAGGAAAAGAAAACATCCCACGACAGGATGCTACAGGTGTGGCCAACAAGGTCACTTAGCAAGAGACTGTAGAGTGGCAGTTTGCAACGTGTCAGAGACAAGACAAGAGCAGCCGCAGGATGCAACTACGCAGTGGTACACTCAGAGCAACACTCACGAGACTACTTCTGGAGCAACGACCAAACATCCAGCTATACCAGTGTGGCAGCATACCAACCATCACCATCACAACTGGCATTGTCACCAGCGCCAGAGGCAACACCAACTTTGCACTTTGTCTCAGCAGTGGACTTCACAGTAGCAACCGTTGATGACAGTCGCAAGCACAACTCCGCCTCGCATGCCGGATGTGTGGGGCGCCAAACACCGGGGCTCGGGGGCTCACACCCCGGGGCCTCACCACAACTGGCAACGCAACAAACACCACAGGCACAGGAGGACAACAAAGCGTAACTTATGATCGACAGCGGCGCAGCCACACATGTTTGTCCAACATGGTTTGCATCAGACACCCATGTACACTGCCTAACCATCTAACCACGACAGCGCCCGCGCCTGCGGACAGCAACAGACGAGAACATAGCAGTGCACGGATACAAATGGGTGTACATGCAGAACAAAAATGTAAAGATGCACAACACTGGAATTACCGAGGGCCCTTGAGCTCAAGTACAACACAGAGAAAAGGCGTGCACGAACAACAGAGCTGCCTTGAGTTTTGAATACATGTATATATATATGTTAATATATATATATAAGTCAGTATTAATGTATATGTATATATATATATATATCGACTATAAGATTCCCTAAGTATATCCCTAAGAAACCGGGCCCTCAAATGTGAAGGTTTTTGAGGGTCCGGACCACTGTTATGGAGGGCTGCATGCACTGGAAGATTCTGGTTGTCTTTGTTCATACGTCTACCCATTGGCCCGTCCTCCTCCTCCTACTTCTCCGCCGCCACTCAGCCCCACCTCCGCGATCGTCGGACAGCGGCGAACACGCCGAGCGGTCCAGGTATGACGATACGGGCGGAAGGCTCATCTCCTATGGCACCTTTAAGCAGGACGACCGCGGCGTGCTTGTTCCGCCGCGAAAACGCATCATTCCCGGGTTGCAAAAAGGTGTGCTTTTCACTTTTTTGCCGCGGCCATTTGCATCGAACATCAGTCGCTACGAGACGGGCTTCCGAAGTGCTGGACTGGAGCGCAGCGAAGCGACCCAACCGAAGCCACTGACAGAGGCAAGTTCAGCAACTTCCAAACATTCTAGAAGGAGTGGTTTCAGCATGGGAGGCTGGAGAAGTTGACAGCAGAGTATGGGGCACCTATGAACCACCATCGTGTTCCCCAACATCTTCGGACAGGGGAGTTTGTCCCGCAACGCCTATATACTTATACTGTAGGTGGCTCAGATCCGGGTCGGGCACGCAGCCAGCCCATCATCTACCCATGTGAGCTCCTTGCTGGTCTACCAACAACTTCAACAACACTCAACTCAAAAGAAGCCTCCTGAGTGCTTTCGCAAAAATTTCAGAACTGGTACCGTTTTGGTCCTTGGTCTTGTTGGATGTACGGACCTCGCTGCATGGATTGGTTTCCCTCCGAGTGGCTGGGAAGTGGGCCAGGCTTTTGCAACCTTATCCAAGTCTTGGGGTTTGAGTTCACCATCCAAAAAGTTGTATATCTGAATCTGCCCCTGCAAAATGCTATCGTAATGGCCTATCAAAGGTCCAAGACCGAACCGGTTCTTCCAGGGACCAATGGAAGGACTCAGCTCAGAAACACGGCAGGCTCTCAGTTCCGACTCAGTCGTGCGTGTATGCCATGCCGTCGGGGCGGTGGTGCACATGCTGAGGCAACAGTGTTGGTGGAAGCTCGCTGAAGCTTTCGTCTGAGCAGTTGCCTGGTCATGCCCGGGAGTGATAGGGTTTGCCCGCTCACACGGCAGGTTGGAGACAACCCCAACCAAACATATATACCTCGAGAGAAAGTTCCTTGGGAGAAAATGTTGCTGCGTAGATATCTTCTGGATTCCGTGTTGCTGATGTATTCAGACAATAGCCTGGTGATTTGCATTATTTTGCGTTCATTTTTCAATATTGGTCAAAGCTGTTCTGTTTTGAATCTTGACAGGCCGCAGCCTCTCATCACCTCGTGCTCAATTTAATTTGATCGATTGAAGCCAAACATGCAAACAATTGAGCTTCAACACCGCCCACCACGCACCGGAATCGTTGAGCAGTGCCCGGCCAAAGCGCACCATCAGCGCAGCGCTCCACTGCGCAGCTGAAGCTGACTTTCAAGACGCACGCAGCGACATCTGATCCAAGCTCGTCACCAGAATGCCGTGGAGCACCCTGAACGGTTGGATTACCAAGGTTCAGATAGAAAATTTTGGATCAATGTGACCCACAGAATCAGAACTGCTTTGCAATTGCCCAGAAATTTTCTCAGTGAAAGTGGCAGTGAATCCCTGTTGTCTGTGGCCATGCGCTATAGCTCTGGCAGGACTGGGGGGAATATCAATCTGGCTGGTTCTCCTGCTCCCACATCCACCCACCCAGAGACTTGTTTGAAGCTTGGCCGGGCCTTAGCTGCAAAATGCATTGAACCCGGAGGCGACGGTCCGAACGTCATTGACATGGCTATGCACAGCCCACCTTCAGACAATCAGTCTCGCAGCTGAGCCTGCATTGACTGTCTAAAAATAGATCGATCGAGCTAATCAAAAACGCTGATGGCAGTATATTCCTGGTGCTTGCAATCCAGCTAAAGTCTTTCGGGCCTCAATGCACAATGTCATTTGAGGGAACTCGAGGTATGCGGACTTTGCCTCACCATTTGTCGAAGACTACTGCAGCATTTTGTCTTATAGCATCCGTTTCGGGTATTGTTTCCAGCTTTGCGCTACCGATGTTGCAGCGGAAGGTGCGCCTGATGGTGCCATGCTTGCTTGTTGCGCTGGCGCTTGGGCAGATCAATGTGGATATAGCGGTTTGCCCTGTTTTCCTGGCATGCTAGTCAAAATACAGAAGCCGGTTCAAACGCCAATAACACAACCAAGCGGCCGTGGCGTACACGGCAGAATCAGTCACCCAGGGCCTTGTGAACCATGTGCCACCCGCCAGCCACGCATCCAGCACACAGCCTTGGCACATCGGCCCACAGCGGATCACCGCCAACCTGCCGCCTTTTATCCGGCAAATGACCCGCATTTTTGAACGCCAGAACCAAACGAAAGGTGGTATGGTCGTTCCTTTTGGCAATTGATCGAGATCCTGTCATCTTCTCGAAATGGCTTGGACTGATCCATTTGTAGCAATGTTGATAGACCCTTGTTCAACCCGTAGAAAGTTCAAGCCTTGCAAACTCCCGTCCACCAGCTGTCACCACCTTGTCGTCCGCTGCAAAAAGTTCAAGACACTTTGGCACTACGCGCCGACGCATGCTTCACTTGCATATACTTGCATTATCTGCGGCTATCGGCCGTAGACCTCGGCATCGACTTATGTGGGAGACGGGCCCACAAAACTTGAAAGGCGCAGAACAAGTGCTCCAAGCGCATTTGTTGCAAGTAGGGAAGCTGCGCCTGAACTGACAAAACCCGTTCACGGTGTGTTTTTGACCACAAATACTAGACGGTTGCAGCAGATGGGTGGAGAAAAAGATTTTTCGTAGTCAAATTTGCAACCCAGATTCCGACATCGCGTGTTTTTTTCGGCGTGAAGCGCGGCGTGAGTTCCCCCACTCTCACTCGCCCTCACTCACCCTCGCTCATTCTCACACACCCTCACTCACCCACTCACACTCACTCACGTTCACTTACCCTCACTGAGTCACTCACTCACTCACTCTCACTCTCACTCACCCTCACTCTGGCTTGGCGAGGTTCAGTGTTTAAATTCGTCCAAACACTGGTTAAACCCCATATACCTTGGGAATCCGGGGGCATATGTTCTTTGCAGGCTTCCTTCGTTCACCGCAAATCACGGCGTTGTTCAGTCTTGGTGAAGTGAACACAGTCCACCGAGTTCACCAAATTGAGGTATCAAATTCCGACATCCCATATGTCAGGAACGAGTTTCTATGGCACCCAAGGATGTGAGTCTAGGCCACCCCAGCCCTTCCTTTTTTAACAGCTGCCACGGATGGTGAATCCTGATGCCCCGATGCCATCTCTCACTCTGTCAGAACTGCCCTGATGTCGATCATCCGGTGAACGTCCGCTTCCATAACCACATCAGCCCTCCCATCTTCGAGAGCATCCGTGCCGAAACCGCCAAGAAGGGTGGCTTCAAGGGAGTCCCTTGGAGGCACCAGGATCATCGACATGGGTGTCCCGTTCGACTACCCTACTTACAAGCTTACAGGTCTCCAGACAGGGCACCCAGACAGGAAGTGCTAGGAAAGGACATGTTGGGTCCAAACGCCCGGGTCGACCGCTACTGGCACCGACTCTACAGGTCTTCGAAATGGTGGTTTCTGGTGGCATGGAAGACCTGTAGGACATGAATGTACGTATAGATCTTCCAACTGTGCAACATGGATGCCTAACTTGGTTGATTTAATGGATGAAAAGGCAGAAATGACCTGCACGTCGTTGGAAGATCCAGGTATTACCATGGAGCGTGGGAGGGTCGTCCACCAGCCGCGAAGGAGGTCCCAACAGATAGAGAAAGGTCTTCTGGTGCCATGACCCACCGCGTAGATGTCCAATACCCAGACGTTGACCCGAACGAGGCGAATTCGCCCTGGTTCCCGGTCCTGCTACATGTTGGTGAAGGCTCCAGCTTGGTTTCAGGTCATTTCACCCGGACCGCGATCGGGGAACAGGTCCTGCGAGCCTGAGCCTTTGGGTACAATAAATATCATTGTCAGTTCGTGGAAGTAAAGGGTTTCTTTTCATATGACATGTATTTGGATCTCGAGGAGTAATTGAATCAGTGATAGAGGTCTTTGTGTTGGTGATTGTTGAAAAAACCTCATGGCCAGGAGTCACAAGATAGGGGTCCCCAGCTACTCCACTCACTGGATGGGACTTAAAACCATCCCGAGCTTTGTGACTCCACACAAGTCCTTTCAGACCTTACTACAGATCTCAAAGAGAGAACTTCAGGTGATCTCTCGCACAGAACTGAGGTGATGACCATTCGAAACCCCTTGGAGATGGTCGTCTCCTCCTATTGCCGCATGGAAAAAAGGCTCTCGAGATCGTAGGACCTTCCCAGACACTCCATGGCCAAAACAGCCGATGAGGGATCATGACCCTTAGGGATTTCCTAATTTTTTGGAGCGGTTGAACAGGGGTCAATGCAGGCAACCTCTGCCACCGACGAAAGCAGCACCGTGAAAACTGTATGTTTCGTTCTGGGAGTCGTCGGCGTGGTGAAGGAATCCAGACAGCGTGGTGAAGCATCTTTGTTCCTAAACACGTTCTGGACACCCGTTTCCCGGTTTTCCTCAGGACCAAGCAACCAGAGAGAGCACCTGCAGGGCACGTTTTCCACACATCTGCATGGTGCAGTTCCTTCCAACGAGGTCGATTTCAATCGAGGCCGCAACGGAGGTCACACGGCCTGGACTCTCCAGAACATGTGGCATCCAAGAGTCCATCGAGGTCCACCAGGACCCCCCAGGAGTTGGGTGGTAGACATGGACACCCCTAGCCTCACAGCTAGTTGGGGCGACCAAAATCGACACCCCTAGCCTGGAGGGTCCTGCTATACACCTCCGGACCGGTCTTGGAGGTTGTTACCCGTCGTGTCGCAGGTTCCACCGCTCTGGATAGTGAGATGAGGACGAGGACGAGTGAATCCAAACACGTCCCAACAGAGGTAGCGAGTTCCGTGACCTGAACGAGTCGGACCCGTCACCAGGGGTACCAAACTAGGATAGTCAAATGTTCGTGTTCTGAAGAACCTCTGCTGGGATCTGGGATTGGCCGAGAGGTTTGGCCCAGCGGGTGGTTGATTGATTTAGGCATGGGGCGGCCAGTCCCATGCCGACCCCCGCGGACTGCGAACGACTCAGGACCCCGCGACGTGTTCAGCTCTGGCGTTCGACGAGGGGGGGGAGACAACGGACCAAGCGCGGAGCGTGGATCGCCGCTAAGGCTACCACCATCGGGGCGCTGAACCTTGGAACCCCATGGGTGATAACATGACGGACCTGGCCCCCAAGGCGGCCTGGGATGCGTGGGTCGCTGGAAGCCGCCGACTCGGGCGAGGAACACGGACGCGGAAAGGGACGGTATCAGTCCCTAAGGATGCGTTTTAGTACCTTCTCCAGGTACGGTGAAGAAGGAGACACTCTTATGTAGGTTTTGAGGGTCCAGTCGTACCTTCTGAGAAGGTACGACTGGATCCCTATAGGTGATGTTGGATGGTTTTCCTCTGAATCCGGGCTCCGTCTGACCCTGGGCTCGTAGGATTCTTGGGGTGCTTAAGAGTGGGTTTGGCTGCTGCTGTTGATCTTGATCGCTTTGTGTTCCGTTTTGGAAGACCTGCTGTGAAACACGTCTTGAAGTCTTAAAGCAGCCCATTGTGAGAATTTATATTAAGTGGAAGAGGAAGAAGATGAACTGGAGGTGGCAGCCCCAAAATAGAGTTCTTATGTACCATGACATCATTGCCGCACCAAATGCGTTTTGATATGTTTTGATACTAATTTAGTGAAGCGTTTGCGCTGTTTCTGCCAGGGTACTCAAGCCACCTTGTTGCCCTCATGTTTGCCCCCATGTTCTATGAGTCCAATGAGCTCCAGATCCCTTCCAGCCAGCGCTGAATGACGCCCGCGCCGTGCCCGCCTTTCACCATCGTCTCACCCTCCCAACCAGCCATCCAGCTCGGCAGGAAGGCGTGCCCGAAATGGCCCGTCGGATGCTGCTGACCGTGAGAAACATGACGCATGCCTTCCAGGCGGACACCGTGGTGAACGGTGACCACGGTCACGTGTGTTGGTTGATGGTGAAAGCCTTCCCCCTCAAAAAAAACGCGGCCCTGAGCGGGTTGGAAGTCTTAGACTTCCAACGACGATTACAAATCCCAGCCGCTCCATGGGACTGCCATATATGCCGCCCCATTGACCCCCAGTCAACCACTCCAACTGATCGGCATGTATACCAGTCCCATGGAGTGTCTACAAATGGGACAGACTTAGTTTTGTATAATCGTTAGAAAACGGTTGTTCGGTAAAGCCTATCAAATGAATGATGGTTGGAATCCTACAGGTTCGGCTTCGACCTTAGCTCTGGAGGGTGATGCAAATTCCTGGTGAGGTGCAGTGTTTAGATCTGTTTAGGGGAAGTAGCATGGAGTGTGTGGGACATGGTGACGCGCAGCACTTCTCGTGATGGTGCAGTGTCTTTTTGGAGAGATTTGCAATCTCCAAAGTTACTGCAATGCAATCTTCTTGGTGAGGGATTATTTGCATCGTTCTTCCAGGTCATTGTAAACCTCAAACACAAGATGTTTAAAGCCAACTTCGGTCTGATGACACTGCTGTATTTCGTCATACCTGTCCTCCAGTTCTTAAATACATGCTGCTGAGCGTTGCAGAAACAAGACAAGTCTTAGTTATATACAAGTCTTGTGTTTTGCATTGCAGAAACTCTGAATCCGTGTGGTATCTTGACACCTGCGGAGGTATCAAATACCCGAGGCATCGGATCGGTCAGGTATGACCATGAGGTATGAGAAAGGGGCCTTCTGTCGGGTGCAACCGTCAAGTCCATAGTGATGGCAATGAAGTCTCAAGACGAACAGTCTTGCAGTTGTTTTTTTGAGATGAACGAGACGAAGAGATGGAAAACCTTGCATGTTCCTTGCCTTTATGGTTCACGTATACGGTCCCATGCAGTCCAAGAGAACTGATGAGGTAATTGCTAACGAATACCGATCCTTCCATTCAATGCTTGAATCTGGATTTAAAACCAGTTGTATCATTGTATCTGAAGAGAGAGAGAGAGAGAGAGGAACCAAATATAACTGGCGGATATACACCACCCCAGTTTGGGTGGTGTATAGAACCCCCTGAAAATGTATCTTCTATATGTCCTATAACCACCCAGTTGCTAGGTAGTGCAGCAGTATGAACTCCTTTGCACCAACCAAAGAACTTGCTGTTCCAGGCCATTGTGGCGGTCCGCTCGCGCGTGTTCGGTTGAGCTCTTCGAACACCGGTCCGCTCTTCCTCCCAAAGCGACGCTCGGTGCGACTCGCACCCCGACTGGTCGCACTTGGACTCGCAGGCGGCCAAGCCAGAGGTCTATGTGAGCCACTACGAAAGGATGACTGGAAGCTCCGCCGGTTTCAATCAAACCGTCAAGGAGCTTGGGCGCACGCGCGCGGACCCGGGCGGATTCGGTATTTCAGTGTGAAGACAATGACCGCGGCAGACCGCGGCGTGTGGACCGCCGTGGTCGGGTCGGGTGGTGGGGTCGGGGGGGTGTAAAGATGGGTTTAGACCAACAGAGGTTGAAGGACCCTATAGGACTATAGTGGGGGAGCCAAAGGATAGCCTATAGGGTTTTTCAACCTCTGTTGGGAGATACGTGTGTTTTGGGGAAATCGCTCTTTTGATTCCTTTATTTCGCTCGAGGCCACTCGAGCAAAGGAGAGGCCGATGATTTCGTTCGAGCAAGCGCGGTTCGCTTTAGGGTCGGCGAACAAAACCATACAAAACCGTTGGACCCGCTCCGGCCTTCACCGGTGGAAACCAAGAGTTCGTGGCGGAGGCGTCGTTCGCCCTCCTGGCCTGGCCGAAGGCAGCTAACAGCATCAGGCAATCAGGCAGTTTTGGGGTGGTTGATAGAACCCCCCGTGAAAAAAAACTATGAGAAGTATATATATATATTATTATATATGTTCTATACTCCAAGAAGCATCCAGTTGGGTGGTGCAGATCATATGTTACCATGTTAATAGCTCGTTTTGGATCTCTCAGACACCGCCAAGCACGGACGCTCCTTCCCAGCTCCGCCTCTCTCACGGGTCGTTGACGTCGGACGGTCCCAGTACCCAGACACAGCAGAGGTTGAAGGACCCGAACGTTCGACTATCCTAGTTCGGTACCCCTGGTTACGGGTCCTAGTTCAGGTATGTTCAGGTCACTTAACCTCTGTTGGCTGCAGCAACAGGGGCAAGAACGCTACTAGCGAACGGGGCTCCGGGCATCGCGAATGGAAAAACGGAGCGAGAAAGGACGCGACCGGTTCACGGGGCTCCTGACCAGCAACAGGTCTCCCAGGTCTCCCAGGTCCTGAAAACGGAGACTGTAGCTGGAGACCGTGACCCTGTACTGGTGACCTGGCAAGTGCCACTGGTGCCACAAGAAGATATGACTGAGTATTGAGTATTGACCCCGGGTCAATCAACCCCAAATGTATGTAAATATGCCAGTCTCATGGAGTGTTTAGGTCATCTCATGTCATATCCACTTCGACCGCAGAAGGACTTGCCCGAAGCTCCGTCGGTCCGTCGCTCTATGTCGTCGGAAAAAAGTCAGACCCAAACACTCCAACAGAGGTGGGTCAGGACCCCGAACGTTCGCCTATCCCAGTTTGGTACCCCAGGTTACGGTCCTACCCAGACGCTCCGTTCACAGCTCGACTGGTCCCTCAAAACTTATAGGGATTGGTTCGACCCCAGACCCCTCCAGAAGATTCGGGTCCGACCTCTCCAAAGGATTCGGGCCCAGGGTCGCGTCTGGGTATAAGGTCTCTGGCTACCTCTCTTGGCTCCATGGGACTGGGGTGGTTGATTGACCCAGGCTCAACTGATCGGCAGTCCGGACTGCCAGTCCCAGACAGGTCGTGTCTGGGATAGTTTTTTCGTCACGTCCATCGACTTCAACGCGAAGTTAATTGCGGGCTTCTCAAGACTGGATCTTCATTCTTCATGTAGACTGAGAACTAAAAAACCAGCAGTAGCTTTCCTCGGAACAAATCGCGGATCCACACAAGACCGATGGGGCGCCAGTTCCGCCCTTGTTCGCGCCGGAAAGCAATCCCAGATTGGACCTACTATGAATTAAGGCAATAGCAAAAGCCTAAGCGACTGGTGGTTTTCGTGAAATTGGATGACATTTGGGGCCATCTCATGCTTATCCCTAGGGCTCCAACCATATCCTCAGGTGCACCCCAACCACCTTCACCGAAACGGAGGGTAGGCCAGGAGCCCGTGGTCGCACGCATTTGGGAATGGCTTCGACCACGTCAGTCGCGTCTTCGCTGCACACGTTGGACCCCCTCTTGCCACGGGGCGCAGACTTCTCTCTTCAAAGGTGTGGATCCCCTGCATTTGGGGGAAGACGAACCGCGTGCTGTGCAGACTTTGGGGAGTGCAGACTTTCACCCACAGGTGGAGGGGATCAGCTTCACTACACCTGGTCGAGTCTGTCTTCGTCTTGAGACCAGATGGTGGAGTGTTTCGCCATAGACCTGGTGGCACAGGGGAATAGAAGAGAGTAGAAGAACACCTTTCAGTCATTGCTACATCAAGAACACCTTGCTACATCAAGAACACCTCATGCGCCAGTTCTGAAGCTTCAACTGGTGCGTCTTCCGCGATGCGAAATCGCCAGGAGATCTTGGACTTCCTCTGGGGCGATGAGATCTCGGACGACCTGAAGCAACGAGCCTTGGACGCCACGGTGCACGAGGACTTGCCACTTGGACCGGTAGCATGGGGTCCCGTGGTGCTACGGGACGAGAGTCGGCGGAGAGCACTAGGGAGCTGATGAGTTTGGTGAGGTTGGTGTCAGATTCCTTGCAACTGATGATTCTTGCTTCTGGGGGAAAAGCAAAGGAGTTTTACCTGAAGAAAAGACCAAAGGTGTAAAGACTATCCAAAGCTCGCTGCACAGTTGTTTTTTTCTTGGTAAGCAAGCCTGACTGGAGATGGCAGTGGTTAGGAGTTTTGGAGATGCAATTGAAATGTCTTCCTACATAAAGGTTGCATGATCTCAGAAGGGTTTGCCCATACAAGTCATGTTTTCAGTGAAAGGTCCTTTCTCCGGTGGAGCAGGAAGTCGCGAAGCTCAAGCTCTGCTCCAAGCAGCTAGGGTGGATGTGTCACTTCATTGGGTGTGTATGTCATTGTATGTCAATAAGACACAGAACCAAGACCCATGACCCAGGAGTCACAAAGGGGTGGTGTTTAGTTCCTAAGTGAGTGGATAATAGGCACCCCTAACCTCCATGGATAGCACGCCTTTGTGACTGCTGGGTGAAGCTTCTTCCGTTTGCTTTCCAAAGGGGTGCACGTAGAAAACGACGGTTGTGTTCGCCACCTATAGCCAAGGTCTCAAGAAAAGCTGGAGAATAAAGCCAACAAAAAGGCAAAACCAAAACGCGGACGGAAAAAAAACATGTTTGCTGACAAGCAAAAACAGAGCAAAACAAAGCGCAAAGAAGAACAAACAGCAAAAACTGGAACTCCAAATCACCTGATCCGCAAAACAGATCAGTGATGACGTGTCTATTTTCCCCAAACCGGTGAAGTCCTCAACTGGTACACCTCGGTGAAGCTCCTGGAACTTGGCGAACGTGTGCGTCCGTTTCCGCTGTCGTTTCAGGCACCGTGGGGAAGAGGGCTTCTCCTTTCATGTTGGGATCCTCAGAGGGGTCACGTTCACCGCGGGGACCGGCGGACCGAGAACGCCCATGGCACAACGAAGGAAAGACGGCGCGACATGGCACGAAGTCTCACCAAATAAAAGGACCGGATAACCCCACATGATAAGTTTTACAAATTTCAAATGTATATGAACATCACACGGGAGACGGAGTAGTGAGAGAAGGTATATGAGGCAGTTGTGCTAAGACGTGTAGTATAAGTGATGATGTGATGGACGAGGATGAGAATGGGGAGGGAGGAGGTGTGAGATGTGGGGAAAAAGAAGCATGTCGCGCAATCAAGAACAAAGTCACACCCTATAGACTTCCGACCATGAAAAAGCATGGAAGGACTTGGTCTTGGTAGTGGACAAATCCGTAGTTGATTCGGTAAAGCTATAGGGAACATGTGGCTTTCGGGGTGTTTGGGGGACGGCGACCGGCAGAACACATGTTTTACCCAGATGCTCCGTTTTCGTTCACAGCCCTTTCCTGGTCCCGAACCAAAGCGGGATTGCTGAGAAACCCCTGAGCCCTAGAATTCGGGTCCCGGCGCTCGCGGGTCGGGGTACAGCTGTGAAGTCGAGCAGAGGTCTGAACAAGTCTGAAGACCTAAATAAAACCTTCAAGTCTGCCAGCACCGAACCCAACAGGTCTCCGTTGCATGGAGGGTTGGGTGGGAAAGGCCCTTTCTTGCAGGTTTCGGTCTGGGTGACCTGTTGGAGGTTCTGGTGCTGGTATAGGATAAAATGAAGGCTGAATTCAACCTTGGTTGGTCCGCTTCGTCAACTTGAAGCGTCCGTACCGGGAAAGTCATCGTTCCACTCGCCTTTCCACCTCTCCCAGGACCTTCCCAGTGACCTCTTCAGGATTGGTAAGTGACCCTTTCAAGGCCGTTTAGTGACCTCAGTCTGGGATCTCAAAAGGCCGCTTGGAAGGTTCTGGTCACTCAGATCTTTTTGGGGTTCTTGGCAGAAGAGAGACGGATCGTTCTTTCTTCAGACGCCGTTCCCCTGGACCCTCCGCAACCCGGCGCCGGCCACCCGTTCTTCCATCCGAATCCTATGGTTCGGGGTCCAGACCCGAACCAATCGCTATGGTTTGGTTCGGGACCAGGAGTCGGGCCGTGCTTCGTGTGTCTTACCCAGACGCTCCGTGAACACAGCCCTTTCCTGGTCCCGAACCAAACCATAGGGATTGGTTCGACCCCAGACTTCATATGAGGGTCCCGGGTCGCGTCTGGGTGTGTCTTAAGCAGCGTTTTTGGGGGACCCGCCGAAGCGACGCTCCGGTCTTCCCCGCCCGACGGCATCGGGCTCCGGCTCGCGGCATTCGAGTCGGTCGCATTCGAGTCGGGCTCATGTGTACTCTTACCCAAAGACCAAGTCATGAGACTGGATTATATGCCGCCCAAGTCCGGAAAACACCCCCCCTACCCAGAGGCGACCCGAGGCGACCCGAACCTGCGAGGCTTCAAGGAGCCTTGGGGAAATGCAAAGATGCCAGTCCCAGACGTGTTTGGGATATGCCAGTCCCGGTGGTTTGAGGGGTCTGGCCTGGGGCGGCAGTCCGGACTGGCAGTCCCATTAGTCGTCGTATCGGGAGTGTTGAATCGTGTATTGAATCGACCTGAATCGCTCTCCCAACAGAGGTTGAATGACCCTATATATAGACTATCCCATAGGTACCCCAGTAGGGTCCTATAAGGTCACTTAACCTCTCATGGTCGACCCTCGTCAATCTCGCACTGAATCGCTGATCGCGTCGCCCATCTCAGCGCCGTCGCGGCGCCCAGAAAGACGGCACAGCGGATAGTAGGATGGGGAATGACGGGGTCAACCACACGAGCCACTTGGAGCTGGAGATCGTCGGAGATCGTGGCAGATGGTGTTTTCGTGCGAAGCAAGGATCACCGGATTTCATTTGGGGACGTGGATCACCTGAAAAACAAGGAACCTCTTTGTTGTGGGAATTGGTTTCCCCCAGACGCGACCTGCACCCGAATCCTGGCCGGAGGGCAGATGGTTTTTTGAACGTGATGCTTGAGGATGTCCCCACCGTCGGCCGGAGAGTCCCGAATGTCCCGTTTTGGTGCCGTTTTGGTGCGCGCCGCGGCGTGAAGAAGCAATGAAGAAGCTGAGCAAATCCCATCAAGAAAAAGAAAGATCTCGTCCCTAGAATCACATCGTCCGGCAACAGGGAGTCCCTCTCCTACGAACTAGACGACGGTTGGCCCGAGAGCGAGACATGTAATTCAGCACTGTCGAAAAGATGTATAGAAAGAGAGAAAGAGAGGGTGGATGTGAAGGAGTGACAGTGTGGATGTGCAGGTGCGATATAGATCTGTAGATGTATGGAG